ATTTTAGAAGTGTAGAAGTCCAGTCCAGAAGAATACAGAAGTCCATCGTGCCAGGCCTGTGAGGTATCCAGAAAGGCAGCAGAGCACCACAACTTATTTTCAAAAGTGTGGTTATTTTTTTCTACGATTCTGTGCACCTGTTCTTTCGTGGTGTGGAATCTGAAGCCAAAATGATGTTCATAAATAAATTATCTTACGGTATAACTGGAGCCAGACAGTTAAGGACCAGGATTTCTAATAGTTTGGACGTTGTCGGGAGCAGACTGATTGGACGGTAAGACTTAACATCAGTAGCGTCCAGGTTTAGGAATTAGAATAATTTCCGCCACCTTCCATTGTTTTGGAATTAAATTTCTCCAAAGGCAAGCCTGTCTGGCATCTCTTTTAAGATTTTAGCGGTAATCAGGTTATACCAAGGAGCTTTGTGAACATAGAGTTTCTTGATGGCTCGAATTACTTCATTTTGGGGGTTTTCTTAATAGGCAGGACCATTTGGTGCATTGGGTAAGAACCTTCCAAACTTCATTCAACTTCGAGGATCCGCAGTCGTAATTTAGAGTAAAGATTTCTGATAGATGATTAGCAAATACTCCGGCTTTGTCCTTGTCACTTTTTGCCCAGGTACCATTGATTTTTAATATGTGATGACTGGTTCTTCAACATGAGAGCTGATATGAAAGTAGTAAGAATATTATAAATCCAGTATATAATACAGTATTTCAGTTTTGTATCGATAGTTCTTAATTACTTTATACTGACTGCTATTTTTATGTTTTTAATTAAAACTTTATATATAACTTACCAAAAAACAAGTTAGAGTAAACTTTAACTAAACTTGTTTTTTGGTAAGTTATATGCTTCTTACTAAACATAATTACTCGATTTTTTTATAGGCAAACGAGCAGACAGGTTTCCTAATGGTAAGCGATAACCACCGTCCATGGAAACCTGCAACTAAAGAGTCACAGAGTTACCGCTCTTTTAGTACTACCCCACCCCTCCAGAATCAGTGGAAAAACTACTAAAAAAATTGCCTTTTTTATGGAATAGGGGGAATAACTCCCATTGAGTTATGATGTACTACGCTAGTAATATTCTAATTATTAATTTTAAAGCTTATACAGTTGAAAGAAAAATAAGATTTTATGTTAACTAACTTGGATTTTTTAGGGCTAGGATTTATGTAACAAAAACCTGCTATTACTTAGATATCCAATTTAGATAGAAACATTAGATATGTATCCATATTGTTTATATTAACTTTGATGATTAGAATATTGATTTCATTGGGCGACATATTTAATATTGCGTATTTAAAACAAAATGGGTAATTCTTATATATATGCTCTCAACGTCGTGTAGGACGCCCACAGGCCAGGTGGAGTGACGATTTGCGCAAGATGGCCTGCAGGAGCTGGATGCGAGAAGTCCAAAATTGATCTAAGTGGCGTGCAATGGGAGAGGCCTACGTCCAGCAGTGGACTGCGATAGGCAGATGATGTGATGCCCTCAATGTAAGAACAAAATTATACAAACATGATAAATAATAATATTATACCGCACACATCTCTCTCTAATACGAGTATTATGTTATTTTTTCTCATGGTTTAGGAGGAGCAAACAAGCAGATGATGGTAAGTTAGACATGGAAATTATTGCTCCTGCTAAATCATAACTTATGATGAAATAATTCGTTTCAAACACTGCGATTTCAACTGTGATTGTGATTTGGTCATAGACAAAAATAATGCTATCAAAGTCAATCAAAGATTACAACCTTTTTTTAGGTTTAGACATTTCGCGAGTCTGGCGCCCGCGTAGTAATAATAAGTCGCAGTGTATGATAAATTAGTCACTGGAGTGAATATATGATTTACAAATCATATGATTTATCACAGGTTATTGTGGTAAGTGCTACGTCGCTGATGGACTCCTGCGACCCGAGGGTTATAAGGGCGTCGCTGCTCTTTGACCCCCTCACCCAGTATCTGGGAGAAGGGGAAAGCAGGGGCGCATAACTGCTCACACTCGGTAAAAAGTAGGTAACGGAAGAATTGTTTAACACTAATTTTCTCTCCGGTTTTTTTTTAATTATAATAGTCAGTACATAGAAGTCAGTCAAGAAGTTTTATGTTCTAATATGTAACACTTTCGAAAAAGAACAGACTAGAAACTCCATAGATACTCTTTTTATTATCTTTTTATCAGGGAACTTCCTCTACCAGGCCTATTACCAATTGGTGTAGCGTCATATTTGCACTACACAATCGTTAACAAAAATTTAAGTCATTATGTTACTCTTATTTTTTGTGATAGTCAATCATGTTATTAAATCGTAATTGACACATGTTTATATTTTTTACTATAATATACACATTAAAAAAGGTTTCGTTTCGTTAGTTTCTTGAATCCATATCTATTTAAATAAAAAAATTATTTTGATTTGAGTACGCTTTAAAAAATCAAACAGTTCTGCATCGATTGATGTCAAACCTTAAAACGAAATACAAACCCCTTTAAAGATTGTTTTTATCTATTTTTCGCGTCAATTGGGTTCCTTATTTCTGATCTATGCCACAGCGAAGCGATTATTAAAGGATCTTTCCAATAAAGTGGCCGGCAATTATAGGTGATTGCAGTCAATTATGTACATGAAAAGTTTTAGTTTCTGTTTTTTTTCTTTAAGGTATGTGTTAGTAAGTGACTTTTAATACCGACTCAGATTTTAAGTAAAATTAATAACATTTTTGAAGATGTTTACTACTACAACAGAATAGTGCACAAATAGATCTTTTACCACTTGACGTCATAATTAAAGCTTCCGGCCGCGAAAGCTTTCAATAGACCATAAAATTATTTAAAATTAAATATTAACTTACCTTTAATATGGTTAAATTATTTCAATAATTTAACACAAATTTTTCAACATAACTTACAATAAATCACGATTTTTTAATTAAATTAGTTCACATATCTTCACGATTTAGAAAAAAAAAAGAAATTTTAAAGTTTTTTCGCGCGCACGCACGTCGTCCTTCTGTCCCACCGGCGGGATCTGACTAGTATATAGTTATCTGTGGGCGGGATGTCAACTAATGTTATACGACCTTGCCGCACCGCACAATGTAACCTCTTATTACATAACTTGTTATTTGATAGATATTTAACTTTGCCGGTTTATATACGTTAACTTACGGTCTACGTTGTTACCTGATTTAACCGACGAATTGTCGCATCGATATAATTTAGATATAGAACCAACTGCCACTTCTTCAAATGGTTCGTATATTGTTTATAATTAACAGGATTTGGAAAGGTAATTCGTTTATGTATGAAAATTAAAAATGAACTCAAAGAATTTTCGCAAAGTTCCAATTTAAAGCAAGACTGTGAAGATTAGTAAATTTTTAAACAACCGTTTAAGGTCAGAAAGTAGCACATCTTAATGCTAGTGTTACCTCTGACTTTTTCACCGACAAAAAAGAGGAGGTTTTTAATTCGGATGTTTATTTTCTTTTTTATGTATGTTCGGTCATAACTCTGTCATATATAGATGGATTATCTAAACTCTTTTTTTGTTTGAAAATGGTTTATTCCGAAATGGTCCCATTTAAGTTTCATATAGATCTGATGATGAGTTTCGAAGACAGACAAAGGAACTCTTTAAAAAATCACAGCAAATCAACCGCGATTGCTGCTGGTTTTTCACATTTCACCCAATAGCAACTAACTAACTAAAAACTGACTTGAAGAGTGCATGCACCTGCGACTCTCGAGGGCGGCAGTAGTCACTTATCATCTAGTGATCATAGTCTGTTCGTTTGCAAAGCGAAGAAAAAATACAGAAATACGTGGAGAATCAATAAAGTGTTCAGTGCTTCTTAGGCGATTATTCCACAAGTCAACTAAAGGTTTTTGGTGTTTTTCATGCTCTTCCTACTATAGCCAATAACGAGCAAGGAAAGTTCATCACTGTGCTGTGACCGGGCCTGAACGTATTTATTAGAGAATTGTGCTGGTATGTCAACTGCGAGACTTGCTTTTGTGCATACGCATTTAGCACTTTAGAAAGAAGGGCAATTATAAAATTGATCGAACCCAAAATGTCCATCTCTTTCCCCAAAAATGCTTAATGTCAGCAGTCATTATTTTCTTTAGTAGATTTATTTTCTTATGTTTAAACCTTTATTTCAGAAAGGTTTAAACATAAGAAAATAAATCTCCAGCATCTCTAGCAACGGCACACATAATTAACATTATAATGTGCTAGCGTTAGAAGAACATGATCTGTCGTAGGGATATTCGTGCGCCGGCAAATGTCATCATACTCTACAGAATTGGAACAACTGAACAGAATACTTCTTTTATCACCTCAGAAAGCAATGAAGAAAATATGCGTGATTTGGTGGATCTACGTTTTCTATGGGATAAAAGTTTACTTCGGTCACATGACTCCAGACTCTAAAGACAAATCTACAGAGTACTATTTCCTTTCGATAAATTGGAACGACAAACGACGAGGGTAAAAGAATAGTTGTATGAATGTTGTCTGTGGTAAAACTTACATAGTTAAGTTTTGTATAAATGTACAGACATAAAAATGTGTTGCAATTTCCACATGCGAAAATAACAAGTAATCCAATACCATTTAATGGAGATACACCACAAATACTGCATCGCGCAATGAAATTTTTAATATACATTCCATCCTAAGATCAATTGTTGCGCCGAGGCCCCCCAGATGTAGCGGGTTATTTCAGCCTGATTTGCTGCAGAGGCATAATATCCATTCCTTCACACATTATTAAGAGTTATAAAAAAACGCAAAACATTTAATAATTTTCTACAGTCCATAGTAACAATGAAGAGTAAAACTGAACGTGTCATTCTTCATCGTGGCATAAACGTCACTTCAATTTGACGTATGTTGTAGTGAAACAATTATAGCCAGTGCATTGTAGTGAGAGAATTTGCACAGATTTTGTAAGAGAAGAAGCAAGATGTCCACCGTAGCAGAGTTGCAGAAGAAAGTTAAAGAGCTGGAAGCTCAGCTGGCTGCTGTACAGGGTAATGCGGGCCCTGTTCGTCAGAAAATCGATGTTATGTCGTCTGAAGTTGTCGATTCTAATCCTTACAGGTATAGAGCCACTTTATAATTTTATTTTAAAGCAAAACACACAAAAATATATTATTGGAGTTTTTTAATCTATTGTTTAAATCTTATATTATAAAGGGATCTGCCTAAAAATGTAATAAAGTTATTAAAAATATGTGCAATATGTTACGATATTAAATGTAGTTAAAAAGTATTTCTCTATTTAATTTGGCCTTGCTTTACAAACAGAATGTAAAAAAAATGACCCTCTACTAATATTATGAAGGTATTTCAAAGGAAGTAAAGAGTGTAAATTAGAAAAGTGCTTATTTTATTTTACTTTGATCATTTTTATATAGGTAGCTTACTTTATGTATTATTCCACTATAACTGCAGAACTTTGTTTGTAAGCTTAAATGCAGAATAATGCGATGATTATGATCTGAAAGACATCTTGCACAGTAGGGTAGAATTGTATGTTGCAAATAAATATTGATGTGACATCACAACTGTGTCCTTTAGTAAAAATATATATTATAATAATAATAATAACTTCACACACGGCTGTCTGATCCCAAACTATGCGGAGCCTGTGCTATGGTAACCAGACTGCTGATAAACATACTTATATATTCCTTAATATGTACATATTATAGATAAATTATACCTAGACAAAGAACAAATGATTGTACTCATCACACAATAATATGCCCTGGGATGGAATCGAACCCATAACCTCTCGCTTAGCAGTCAGGTTCACTAACAAGTAGACTGACAGGTCAGGAATGCAATTGTATTTGTATTGTGTATTGACTTCCACATATTATGACTCTATTAGTATACACAGTAGTACTTGTTATTTATTTTAAACGTTATGCACTTCTGTACATCATCGGACTTAATGCCCATTGCATTCTCTTCCAGTCAACCTTTGATTCGTGTAGAAATCTTGTAAGGTAGGTGCACGGAGGTTATGTCATAAAATACTAAGTAATTGAAAATATATACAACCATATATATTTTCGCTACATACATAATGTTGTCTGTTGCTTGAATAGATGGTTACCGTCATTCAAACTATGAACTTAGCTAATTATCGCCTGTGGTAGTTCCAGACTCATCCGACATTGAAATCTGCAGGACTGACAATGCCAAGACACGAGTTTCTGGTGTCATAATTACTTATAATTGTTGTTGTTACAGTCGTTTGATGGCATTAAAGCGGATGGGTATTGTAAACAACTATGAGAAGATCAGGGAGATGTCGGTGGCGGTAGTTGGTGTCGGAGGAGTTGGGAGTGTCACGGCAGAGATGTTAACTAGATGTGGCATCGGAAAGGTAACATACTACCATATAATTGCATAGCTTTTATTTTTTTAGACAAATAAAAATATGTTAAATTAAGCTTGGTAATACCAATTTTTTTTACTCACTTGTTATATTACATTATAGTGTATACACAAAATATATTTAAGTAGTCTTACATATAATTTTCATTTTATTAAAGACATTTTTTTTTACTACTATAAAACTAAATAAATTTGATTAAATTAAACTAAATTTGATTAAATTTAAATTAGTTGACAACTCAATTAGCTTTATGGCTTGTAACAAAAAAAAGCAGAAATAGTCCAGACAACAAAATAAAACTAGAAATGACTAATTTATTTGGAATAAATCTGAGTACTAAAGTTATTTTTATTTTTCCAGCTGATCCTGTTTGATTACGATAAGGTGGAGCTAGCGAACATGAACCGCCTGTTCTTCCAGCCTCACCAGGCTGGGCTCAGTAAAGTGGATGCTGCAGCTGCTACTCTCCAGAACATTAACCCTGATGTAGCCATTGATGCATACAACTATAATATCACCACCGTTGATAACTTTCAAAAGTTTTGTGACACTATAAGGTTAGAAACAGCTTTTTGATTAACTTTCTAAAAATGGTACTAAGCTAGGTGATGTTCCTGGTTTAGTAGCCTGTGGAATCACAGGACGTGTGATCCACAAATTGTTGTTCTAAGTCTGGGTGTTCTTTGTGTCCGTTTCATGTATGTTTGTGAATTTCCCCGTGACACAGGATATATTCCTAATGCGGGTCTGTCTTTTAAATAAATACAATTTTTTTTTATAGAAAATAGTCTTATTACTTCATTAAATAAAGTGGAAGTCTTTAACGCTTTCTTTTCAGAACTGGTAGTCTAACTGGTGGTCCAGTGGACATAGTTTTGTCGTGTGTTGACAACTTCGAGGCACGTATGGCAATCAACACAGCGTGTAACGAACTGAATCAGAAATGGTTCGAGTCTGGAGTGAGCGAGAACGCCGTGTCGGGACATATACAGTTCATCGTGCCAGGAGAGACAGCATGCTTTGCCGTGAGTAATATATTACATCTGGAATCGCTTTTGATTGGACATGCAATAAGAGTCATTTTTGTGATATGTATAGCGTAGTGGTTTAAGCGGTCACCTTTCCTCTTCCTACTGCGCTGAGTGTTGTCGGTTTGATACCCACATGGGATAACACTTTGTTTTTGTTCTGAGTCTGAGTGTTCTGTATTCGTTTCATGTGTGCAAAGCCCTCCGCGACAGAGGATATATTCCTAGTACGGGAGTTGTCTTTAAAAAAATGGTCTTTGCTACTCCCTCACATCGAAACTGCTTGAGATATTTGTGTTAAATAATGAATAGTTTTAGGTATTTGAGTTTTTTTATTGCTGTTATTGTAGTAGAGCTGAAAGGCTTACTAATAATCTCTAAGCAAGTCCAGTCACAGTTGAACTATTTTGTATTGGATTATATTTGTAAAATATTTATTTTTCTTTAATATTGTAGTGTGCCCCGCCATTAGTGGTTGCATCCAAAATAGACGAGAAGACGTTGAAGAGGGAAGGCGTGAATGGCAGGTAGATGTATTTGTAGAAAGATCAGGGAGATGTCGGTGGCGGTAGTTGGTGTCGGAGGAGTTGGGAGTGTCACGGCAGAGATGTTAACTAGATGTGGCATCGGAAAGGTAACATACTACCATATAATTGCATAGCTTTTATTTTGTTAGACAAATAAAAATATGTTAAATTAAGCTTGGTAATACCAATTTTTTTTTACTCACTTGTTATACATAGTACACAGTACATTATAGTGTGTAATAATAAAACCTTAAAAAATTGAATTTTATATGTGTTGGGTGTGTTTTTAAAAGAAATAAAAACTAAACTGGTGGCATCAAATAGTAACAAAATAATAAACTAAAAGTCTCGGGCGCCAGATACCACCTTAAAAGAACACAGAACCCACCACAAACACAACAAATACCTCGGACATCTCGGCCAGAACTGAACCTTTTTAATCCAGGACGGGAGGCAGCTAATGAATACAAGATGTTAAGTTCTAGTGGCAGTTTATTATCCCGTAGTGTCTGTAGAGTACAATGTGTCTTATGTCTCTAATTACAATAGGTAATTCTAATACACAAATTAGTACTGTCATTAATGCAATCCTTTCCAATAAAAAAAATATAAGGTTAAATAAGTTTTAAGAGTCACATGAAGACCCAATAAGAAAAGAGTCTAAGGGTAGTTGTAGCAACGCCCTACTCCCTTAATTAAAATTAACCCCTTTGGGGACCTGTATAGGTTTTTAAACAAAGTCGCATAAAGACTTAATAGACAAAACAATAAACTCTAAGGGTAGACGTAGCATTGACCTACTCTATAATAAAAAATAACACCCCTTGGGGACCTGCAGTATTCAATGCCACGTCGCCAAGAAAAATAACAAACACATACCGATGACCTTGGTTCAGTCCGAATGAAATGAAATCAAACCAACTCCGAAACTTCTCACTCCGGTTCCCACGTGGTGGAAGAGGCGGGTTAGCACTCCCAGGCTCCAGACAATGGCGTGCAGCTAAGCAGCTTTTTCTACCATTTAGGGGCTCCACAGCAAACTAATTTCCTGGGGTCAGGCCGGCGAGAGACAAAAACCGAATGCCACGCAATGACATTCCAATTTGAATGTAAAGAAATTTAGGTATAAAAGAATAATTAGGGTATTATTATGACTTTAGATATAAACTAAAAACCCTGATTCATCTGTAAATAAGAAAAAATTATAGGTTAAACGCCTATCTCACAAGATGAATCCTAACTCTGGCAAGAAACCATAGATTACTTACCAGGGTCCCAAAATGTTTCACAAACTAAGCAGCGGCATTATAAGCATTTCCTGTAACCAATTAAACAAAGAGTTAGAACCACTAATTCTGCCAAGCCAAGCGTGAAGCACGTGGCCGAACAAAACTTACCTTTTTAATAAAAATAATCACTCGAACCAGTAGCTCGAGTCTTAACTAGGTTGGCCAGACATTTAAAGAGGAAATAGGCCCTCGTCCATATCAAATAAATATGGATTACTAATAAAATAAATTACAAAGACTCGCTCCGCTTCATTTCACTCCGGCTGACAAACCAATAGTGACGCTAACGTGTTGCCAGAGCAAAAGCTTGTCGCTCCCTAGAACGTGAGAAAAAAAATGTTGCCAGGACAAGAAAAACTAAATCGACTAACTAACGCGGGCGATCAACATCGATTATTACTCTCGTCCACCCCTCGACCATCGACACTCGCAGAAACGACATAAAATTCAACCTAACAAAACAAAAACAAGACTAAGGTTCAAATTACTGTAATGGTGCGAAATGCACCGTTACAAGTGGATACACAAAATATATTTAAGTAGTCTTACATATAATTTTCATTTTATTAAAGACTACTACTATAAAACTAAATAAATTTGATTAAATTTAAATTAGTTGACAACTCAATTAGCTTTATGGCTTGTAACAAAAAAAAGCAGAAATATTCCAGACAACAAAATAAAACTAGAAATGACTAATTTATTTGGAATAAAGCTGAGTACTAAAGTTATTTTTATTTTTCCAGCTGATCCTGTTTGATTACGATAAGGTGGAGCTAGCGAACATGAACCGCTTGTTCTTCCAGCCTCACCAGGCTGGGCTCAGTAAAGTGGATGCTGCAGCTGCTACTCTCCAGAACATTAACCCTGATGTAGCCATTGATGCATACAACTATAATATCACCACCGTTGATAACTTTCAAAAGTTCTGTGACACTATAAGGTTAGAAACAGCTTTTTGATTAACTTTCTAAAAATGGTACTAAGCTAGGTGATGTTCCTGGTTTAGTAGCCTGTGGAATCACAGGACGTGTGATCCACAAATTGTTGTTCTAAGTCTGGGTGTTCTTTGTGTCCGTTTCATGTATGTTTGTGAATTTCCCCGTGACACAGGATATATTCCTAATGCGGGTCTGTCTTTTAAATAAATACAATTTTTTTTTATAGAAAATAGTCTTATTACTTCATTAAATAAAGTGGAAGTCTTTAACGCTTTCTTTTCAGAACTGGTAGTCTAACTGGTGGTCCAGTGGACATAGTTTTGTCGTGTGTTGACAACTTCGAGGCACGTATGGCAATCAACACAGCGTGTAACGAACTGAATCAGAAATGGTTCGAGTCTGGAGTGAGCGAGAACGCCGTGTCGGGACATATACAGTTCATCGTGCCAGGAGAGACAGCATGCTTTGCCGTGAGTAATATATTACATCTGGAATCGCTTTTGATTGGACATGCAATAAGAGTCATTTTTGTGATATGTATAGCGTAGTGGTTTAAGCGGTCACCTTTCCTCTTCCTACTGCGCTGAGTGTTGTCGGTTTGATACCCACATGGGATAACACTTTGTTTTTGTTCTGAGTCTGAGTGTTCTGTATTCGTTTCATGTGTGCAAAGCCCTCCGCGACAGAGGATATATTCCTAGTACGGGAGTTGTCTTTAAAAAAATGGTCTTTGCTACTCCCTCACATCGAAACTGCTTGAGATATTTGTGTTAAATAATGAATAGTTTTAGGTATTTGAGTTTTTTTATTGCTGTTATTGTAGTAGAGCTGAAAGGCTTACTAATAATCTCTAAGCAAGTCCAGTCACAGTTGAACTATTTTGTATTGGATTATATTTGTAAAATATTTATTTTTCTTTAATATTGTAGTGTGCCCCGCCATTAGTGGTTGCATCCAAAATAGACGAGAAGACGTTGAAGAGGGAAGGCGTGTGCGCAGCCAGTCTACCCACCACCATGGGCATTGTGGCAGGATTCTTAGGTATTCATCAATTTATATTCCAATAATTTAATGATTATTTGAAGAGCTGCTCGAGAAGCTAATACTATCAATGCGAAAGTGAATATTCACAAGAATATTGTGAAATCCGTCGGGGGTACACAGTTCTATCAGAAAATAAATGGTTATCCATGAGCTACAGAAAAAATATTTTTACAAACAAACAGACTTACCTAGTTTGGGATCACAGTGCAATGTGTGAGATGTTTCATCATCATCAACAGCCTTTACTAGTCCACTGCTGGACATAGGCCTCTCCTTAGAAAGGAGGTTTTGGCCTACTATACCACGCTGGCCAGACGGGTTGGTATAGGGTTTGTGTCAAGTTTTCCTTCTCTCAGCAGTGTTGTTGTCCTGCTTAATTTGGTCCCTTAGTCGCTTCTTACGACACCCACGGGATGAATAGGGGTGGTGACACCCTGTATTCTTAATCCGTCACCACACGGACTGTTGTGAGATGTTTACAGTTATTATATTATTTATTTATTTAGGAATAAAGACGAATTTCAAAATTGCAGTTATGGTTCAAACACGTTTGTGTAATATAGATTTCATTTTATTTCAGTACAAAACACATTGAAGTATTTATTGGAATTCGGCACCGTCAGCCATTACCTGGGATATAGTGCATTAACTGATTTCTTTCCTACAATGGGATTGAAGGTGAGTTATATTTTTTGATTTTATATATTATATATAGTATACCGTTTTAATTTCTTTCATCATCATCATCATCATCATCAACAGCCTATAACAGTCCACTGCTGGACATAGGCCTCTCCTTAGAAAGGAGGCTTTGGCCTACTATACCACGCTGGCCAGACTGGTAGATATAGGGTTTGTTTCAAGTTTTCCTTCTCTTTGCAGTGATGTTGTCCTGCGTAGTTTTTTCCCTTTGTCGACTTTTACGACCCCCACGGGATGAATAGGGGCGGTGACAAAAGGTATTCTTAATCCTTCTCCACACGGATAGTGTTAATTTCTTTGGTATTTTTTTATTGTTATTGGTTGGTATATCTTCAACTGGTATTGTATAGACTAGACACGTGTATCTAGATGCAATCACGTGTATCTAATTTTTAATTTTGAAGCATGGATTTATACTAGACTTGCAACGAATAGTATATTCGGCAGTATACCGAATACCGAATATTCGGCGAGGCCCCTGACCGAATAGCCGAATATTAGGCAAAAGTATTCGGCTGGATTTTAGCGCCAAAAACTTGTACAGACTCACGTCTGTACAAGTTTTTAGTTTATTAAATTATGTACCTGTTTTATGTACCAATGACTACTTAATAAATGATTATAAAAGAAATGAGAACCTTACCCTTCTAAATTTTGATTACCACAATAATTCAAATACATAGAATCCTCCATTTTTCCAATTCAGAAGATGATTATGTACCTGTGTTATGCACCAATGACTACTTAAATGATTATAACAGAAATGAAAATATTAATATCTACGTAATCAATCGATTTTAATTTTTCATTTTACCAATTATTTCTCAATGAAAAAATATATTATTTAAGTATTCGGTATTCGGCCGAATAATATGTAGATATTCGGTATTCGGCCGAATATAATAAAAGCAGCCGAATAGGCCGAATACCGAATAGTAACCGAATATTCGTTGCAAGTCTAATTTATACTAATATCATAAATGTGAAGAGTTTGTTTGAATGCGCTAATCTCAGGAACCATGGTTCTTGATTGAAAAAATCTTTTAATGTTTGATAGAACCTTAATCGAGGAATTCTATATAAACACCATGCTACAACCAATATAACCAGAGAATCAACGAAAAGTGTTACAAAAACAGGGCCTCAATTCTGCTATTTTATGTTCAAGCCAAGCCAGTGTCATACCACTGACACGCTATTGAGATGCCATCGAGTGGCCATTGGCATCGGTATAAATATCGGTAGTCTCCACTAACTCAGTGTATTTACAGTGGCGATGGAATGGCAGTGTCTCATCAATGGTGATATCAAAAAAGATTGCCATATTTGGAAAAATAAATAAATCATTTCCTTATAATTTGAAAATATATTACGTTTTTTTGATAGCAGAATTGAGGCTCATGTCAAATTTAGGTTCAGCTAGAGCCAGTTTCTTCTACATATAAACAGACATACTTTTGTTTATGATTTTTTTCTTTTCTTTGTGTAAAAAAATATGTATCTTAGTACGTTTGGGTGCATTATGTCCAGCTGTCCAATTCTATATTGGTTCAGTTCGCAATTGGCCCAGCTCTCAATTGATCTAATTCGCAATTGGTCCTGTTCGTTATTGAAGGGTGTCCTTGATTAGAAATTCTGGGAACTAGATACCTTTTGGTCATTTTGCGAATGAACCTCTACACTGATTTGTGTTGGTGCAAAATACTACTTATGTGTTGTTTGGCAGAAATGTATTATTATTTACTTAATTAATTTAAATAAGTTATGAATTTTAATGACCATGAGAGCTGTACTTACGGTCAAAGATTTTTTGATAAAGGAAGACCTTGCAAATTCCATTCCTTATAAATAATATGATAATCAGTTTGAAAATACGAATTGTATTTTGCAGTAAGCAATTTTTATGTTTATATTATAATTTTCTATTCGCTAAATCTGTGGAAGTGTTACAGGTAAATTAGCTTGGAGAAATTTTTGCGTTTGTAGTAGTGGCACCTGCGGACAGCGGAAACTGGTTTATTCTGGTTTTGTGCGTGTTTCCACTTTCCACTATCAAGTGACGATTTTTTGCTTTAGATTGAAATATCTCGGAAACGGTGCATCCTAGGCCAAAAATAACAAAAATTTTGACCCCCCCGTAGAACCCCCGGAGTTTTAAAAACTTAGATGAAAGGAAAAAAAAAATAAAAAAATTTAAATATCGGTCTCTCCTCTTTGAAGTTTCACTTCTATCGTGTGTGAATCGCACACACACCTTTTTTTTTATAAAGTCAAAACCTTTTTCTTTAAAATAAAAACTTGTTTTTATTGAAAACAAAAATCAGTGTTGCTAGGGATACGTATAAAATTAAATAGTAATGTTAGGATATCGAAACATTTTTGTATAGGCCAGAACGATATAGTGGAAACGCGCTCTAAGATCTGAGTAATATACACACCACTACATAATATGCAAAAAATTCTCGAGACTAATTTCACTGTACCCGACTCGTGTTTTATGACGAGTGACGTATGTAACGTGACTTTTTAATGTGTATATATATATTGTTTTTTTTTTTTTTGGTCTAGTGGTTAGCGACCCTGACTGCTAAGCTGGAGGTCGTGGGTGCAATTCCCACCCAGGACAAATATTGTGTGATGAGCATGGTCACTTGTTCTGTGTCTGGGTGTAATTTATCTATAATATGTATGTATTTAAAAATATATAAGTATGTTTATCAGTAGTCTGGTAACCATAGTGCAGGCTCTGCCTAGTTTAGGCTCAAAAAAAGTTTTTTTTTATATAGTTTTGCTATATGTACACTTGTGTGTTGCAGCCGAACCCGCAGTGCGACGACCGTTTCTGCCGCGCCCGCCAGACGGAGTACAAGGCGCGGCCCGTCGTGGAACTGGCCACGGAGGTCACCGAGGACCTCACGCCCGTACACGCTGACAACGAATGGGGTATGAAGACTATATTGCATTTGACATATATGTCGTTGATCGGGATTTATTATCGCGAATGAGAAAATTTGAAAAAAAAAATTGGCTTAATTTATAAATCATTAGCTTTTCCGCGTTATCGCGTGTGTAAAGTGTAACAGACAGAGTTACTTTCGCATTTATATTGTTACGTGTTAGGGTTCGTTGTGTTCGAATAATAAGCCTTCTGACGACTAAAGAGACTTTATTATCACTACACTTAAAAACGTTCACACAATACTCAAGAATAGTCCATAATGATGGCCGAGGTGGCTGGGTTACACTAATATTCACTTCGATCGCTTCAATGTTTATCGCCCTGCAGCTCGAACTGAACTGACTCCAAAGAAGACGTGTCCGTATTTATAATACTCGTAAAAGATCATTCTAGCAAATTCCAATCCCTACGAGAACCGTCCGCTTTTGAGAAATACAAATTCGTTTAGAATGTAAACTATATAATCGCGAGACAATCTATTTTCGATCTTATGCGTATTGGTATAGAACTTCTTGTTCCGTGCTAACCTGCGCTGTCCTGGAATTGCGTGGTTAATCGAAATTTCTGGAATGTGCTTGATTTTCTTTGTGACAATATTATCTGTAAGGATGGTCAACAAAAAATATAACAGAGAAATAGATACAAAAAGTATATAAGCAGAGCTTGTACTATGGATACTAGACATCTGATATAAATACGTATTTTATATAATTTTATGTAAACCTAGTTTTCAATTACTACGCTCTCTGTAAAATGCCCCTTCGGGTTTCGAAAGAAGAACAACAGCCTTTAATAGTCAACTGCTGGATACAGGCCTCTCCTTAGAATGGAGGTTTTGGCTTACTATACCACGCTGGCCAGACGGGTGTATATAGGGTTTGTGTCAAGTTTTAATTCTCTTTGCAGTGCTGTTGTTTTGAGTTAGCTCCCTTAGTTGCCTCTTACGACACCCACGGCATATTCTTAATCGATTTAATTTATCGAATAGTATTTGCATATATTATGCATATACGCTGTCCAGACGGGTTGGCATAGGGTTTGTGTCAAGTTTTCCTTCTCGTTGCAGTGCTGTTGTCCTGCGTAGTTTGCTCTCCTAGTCGGCTATTACGACACCCACGGGATGAATAGGGGTGATGACACTGTATTCTTAATCCGTCACCACATGGACCATATAACATTTTGCAGTAATAAATGAATTATTATTTGTTTACAGGTATCAGTCTAGTCGATGAGAATATACCAGAAGAAGAAGACACTTCCAATCTTAAACTGGTTGACGGAGTTCAGGTATTTATCTATCTCTATAAAAGATATAAGGTTTTACTCAAATGTGTATTTCCGATGTGCCAGGTCGCGTCCACCCTTGACTAAGAGCCACCTTCGGGTCGGAAACTAGCATCGGACATCTCCGAATACATGCGTGAGTAAAAACAACACTCGCGGTTTTATTCTAAATATCGCTGGTTTTTATGGTATGGGGGAGGGAGGGGGGACCAAACGAGCGGACGGGTCGAGGTGTCGGTTGTCATAGTCGCCCTGCTCCTAATTCTGGGAGGGAGGGGGAGGGGTGACTCAAAGGGCGACAACGCTTACTTGCACTGTGACTCTTATTTCAGCAGGTGACGGCAGTTACTTCCAGGTGACCGGTCTGCCCCTGTAACTTGAATTTGCTATTGTCAGCTATCCCCAGGTTTCCAAATAGAAATAATAAATAAATATATGTGTCGTGTTGTGTGCAGGTGGCGTACAGCGTGCCGGTGGACAGCAGCACGCCCGAGTCCAGCACGGGCGGTGCCGTGGCCGCTTCAGAGCTGTCGCTCGAGGAACTCATGCAGCAGATGAAGTCCATGTAGACCGCCCGCACGAACCGAAGATACGTTCTCCATTTAGGATTTAAGCGGTCTAAGGACCGCTGTCCGAAGCTGAGAGAAGGCCGTAGTTTGCTACGTTATTGGTAGAAAATCACTTCAATGTTTATCTGTCTTTCTGCCTGTTTGACCGCGAATAACTGCTAAAGTGCTAAACGGATTTTCATAAGGTTTTAACCGATTGGTAGGATGATTCATAAAGATGATTTTTCGTGAATAATTTATTCAGATTTTGTATGTATTTACTGTAATATTTTATTATAAAATAATTACATTTAACTATGACAAGAAATAAAATGTGGAAAAGCCGGGGCTAATTACTTGTACCTAACAGTCTTGGGTAATTTTCTGCCATTAAGGTAGCAAACTGCGACTTGCCTGATAGTATACAAAATATCACATTTCCATTTTAACTCTGATGTAAAACTGTTTCGCAAGGTGTTCTTCTCTCAAATAATAATTAAGGCTATTCTTCATATCATTTTATATTGTTGCTAGAGCTAATAAATTATTAAGTTTTTTATTTATAATTGATCAGAATTATATAGGTTCAGATCAGAAGTTACTAATTTAAGAAAACAGAACCGCCCTGTCAAAAACGCACCAAAAAAAATAGACGCCACTTTTTTTTAATGTATCGGCTAAATGATGTAAACATTCTAACGGTAGCTTCAAGTTTCTTGTGATCAAAAACAAATGTTATTTGAAAATGACTTGAAATTCTACTTTTATAAGCTCAAATTATAATCTTAAATTTATAGGTAATTTGTGAGATGCACATGTTTTTGTGTTGAATTCGATGAAGAATTTATTATAAATATTAGTTCAAAATTATATGTGGCTATATTTGAATTATGAGATTTGTAAGTCGGGACCTAATAGTAATAAGGTATAAGATACCTTTTCTATTATCCGACTTTTTGAAATTAATTGCACTGATTTACCGATCATGGTCAGGGTCCGTGACCAATTGTGACCAGGATTGGTAATTTAAAAAAAAATGGTAATGTATTTAGGTCCCGAATTATGCATCTAATTTGTAAATTGTGAAATTTTAAAAATAGTTAGTTTAATTATTTCAATCAAAGTGCTTTGTTACTAACGAAAATGTTCCGTGGTTATGTGTTTAGCTTAAAGCATTTATGGTCAGAGTGCACTTGTGGTACTTTTACTATCATAGAATTTGCTAAATCTATATACACCATAATAGTGGATGTTAAGAATGCCGTGGTTTTTAAGAGATTAAAGCAGACTGCACCCCCATCTTCCTGTCCCCCAAGCCCCTACGGACCTACAGTCCATTCGCGTTAAGATTGACGAGCCCTGTACTCAAACGAATCAGGTTTCAAGCTTTCGTACGAAACGATAATTTCTTGGAACCTGATTGCTCAGGGGGCGGGGCTTGATCGATGCGTCACCATTTTCTTAACACGAATGAACCATAGTTTAAGTCCGTTTGGCCGTGAATGAAGTCGCTTATCGAAAGTCAAGTCCTTTTCGGCCTTCATGATGATAATGATGAAGACCACAATATTTCTCACCAAGCTGACTTCTAAGGTCCGTATCCCTTTGGACTGGTACATACACTAACAATAATGAAAGGTTGTACTTTGAATACATATAGCATAAGATAATTTTTTATCATTTTTATGGTCAATAGATGTCGCTTAACGAACTGGTTTTCTTGATTTTGTCAAACTACAAGTCATGATTGTTGTCATTGGACCCAACTATCTACTAGATTCACATAACATCAACAGCCTTTAGCAGTCCACTGCTGGACATGGGCCTCTCCTTAGAAAGGAGGTTTTGGCCTACTATACCACGCTGGCCAGATGGGTTGGTATAGGGTTTGTGTTAAGTTTTCCTTCTCTTTGCAATGCTGGTTGTGCTGCGTTAGCTCCGTTAGTTGCCTCTTACGACATCCACGGCATATTCTTCATCCATCACCACACGGGCGATTCGACTCGATTCAAATCGATTTAATTTATCAAATAGTAAAAATACCACATGCCTAAGTTCTGAGTCTTATGTGATGCGATTGTAACTGGGTTAGAATGTAACGCTTATGAATGTATCGAAATATAAATGTATTAAAAGCTTAAAGACAATGAAATGAGCATTCCAATGTCAGTACGGACTAATATAACGGCAGAATTATGTAATATTGTGTTATTATATGCTTATTTACCTTATGTTCATTAATTTGCACTTATTGAGCATACGGTCTACGAATACAGGTATGACGTCACGTCCCATCACGTGTAAACTATTCCATGACATAATTTATATTTAGTTCATTTGCTACTTCTCTTGAACTGCTGATAGTGTTTTGAGACGCAAATTGCCATAAAAAATAACTAAGCAATTAGTGTTTATTGTGAAATAAATTCTCTTACAATAACTCTAAAAAACTTGTTTTCTGGTGAGCTATAATTATAATATTATAGTAACTTTCAGATGTAAATTTAGTGATGTTATAATAATAATAATAAGTTTACTTGCATAAAATGTGATACAAAAGATGTTAAGTAAATTAAATACTAAGAACAGGACACATTTTGCCATTAAATGGCAATGCAAATATTTAGAAGGATGGTTAAAGTAATAAAACATAAGCAACGAGATACAGTTTTGAGTTTGTAGTTGTTAATTAACACAATGCATTTCTATTTTTTTTAAGAATTCCTTAACAGAACAAAAGCTCTGTTATTTTATAGACTTGATTAAATATTTTGAAGTCTTCAATTAGTTAAAGTAAAAGAAGTCAACGAAACAAGGTTCTCTGAAAAGTAATAAAACGAGTGTAATCATAGATATTTTTTATTTATATATACGTCACGTCTTCTATTCCCGTAGGGATAGCCAGATATAAACGTCCACATTTTGTCGACTATAATTTTAGTCCCACTTGCTTATATATTTAGTCCCACTTACATATGTAGTCCCACTTACTTACATATGTAGTCCCACTAACTTATTTATGTAGTCCCACTTATACATTTCTAAATACATATTTTAATGGATAAATTACATCCAGACACAACAAAAGTTTCTGCTCTTTACACTATTAGTCCCGGGTGGAAATGAAACCCACGACCTTTGGCTTAAATTTTTTTTTCTTTATTTACAGATATAAATAAAAAACCGCTTTAATTCGCATTTAAATCAATTTATTCGTATGTTTTTTTCTTATATTGCCTTGTTATATTAGTTCGTAAGAACTGTTGTCATATAATGTACCTACTTAAGTATTTATTTAAGATTCAATGAATAGCATTACGTGTAGTTAATTATTTTTTATAATATTTTTTTTTAAATATAATATTGTTGTTAGTGCTGCGACTAAGTGGATATCATTATACATTGTGTAACAAATGTTATTGTAATTAAATATCGTCTGTGAGTAGTTTTTGTTTCATTGTTTCGAGACATGTGTTCAGTTTTGTTGTGATACGCTTGTTTGCTACCGGCAGGGTATTGTTCTAGAAAAGACACATTAATAGTATCACTAACTTCAATTCGTATACATCTAGATGAATTAAAATAAACTGTTTCCTTCTTTCCTTATTTTGCCACCTTTAAGGCAGGTATTTCTTTTTAAATTTGAGTTGGTTCAAACGGAATCTTTCAAATAACATTATCTTCCTAATCATAATCACGAATGACGAAGTTTTGAGGCAACAAATTATAAAAGATAAACAGCTTATTGACAACCTATTCCTTTTTTGTAGTCATCGTCAATCATTAACAGCCTTTAATAGTCCACTGCTGGACATAGGCCTGTCCTTAGAAAGAAGGTTTTGGCCTACTATACCACACAGGCCAGACGAGTTGGTATAGGGTTTGTGTCAAGATTTCCTTTTCTTTGCAGTGCTGTTGTCCTGCATAGTTTGCTCCCTTCAAGACGACTCTTACGACACCTACAGGATGAATAGGGGTGGTGACACTCTGTATTCTTCCGTTACCACAAGGAATAGTTTTACTAAGACTTTAAAAAAATACTTATGACTAAAGATATACCTAATAATGGGTAAAATATCAGTGTCCAATACCATAAGACTTATTTGGCTAAAGGTTTGGGGGGGGGGGGGGAAATCGTTTCCCTTACCAGTATAAAAACTTCCTTTGAATAGAATACAGGTAACACTGGAAATGTAGAAGTGACACTAATGGGGTTTTAATATTTAAACGGTCCATTTGCAGGGTTTTGCGGTCTATTGTCCGTGTGGTGACGGATTAAGAATACGGAGTGTACACACCCCTATTCATCCCGTGGGTGTCGTAAGAGCCGACTGAGGCAGCAACTTACTCAGGACAACAGCACTGCAGAGAGAAGGAAAACTTGACACAAACCCTATACCAACCCGTCAGGCCAGCGTAGTGTAGTAGGATAAAACCTCCTTTCTAAGGAGAGGCCTATGTCCAGCAGTGGACTGGATGATGTTGATGATGCAGGGTTGTCACTTGTAATTTACCACGTTTATCCTAACCCCTAGTCATAAACTGACAACCCTACTAACCAGTTCCAAAAGAAATAAAGCTTTACCGTTAAAGCAGCCATGATTTCCTTAGCTCGGGATATGGTCCGCGGCGGTAGTCCACTCGCAGCCGCAACTTGTAACGCGAAGCTGGAGCTGGCCCCTCCCTCGCACACACGGAATAGGAACACAGGCTCGTCATCTTCGATAATATATTCGAATCGCTACAATTATAATTATCACTAATTTAAAGATTTTTTTATGGCACAAGTAGGCAGGGAGGCCTTTGCCCTGTAGTGGGACAATACAGGCTAAAAATAAAAGGTAGACGAGTAGACGGGTCACCTGATGGTAAGTGACTATCGCCGCTTACGCACACCTGCAACTTAAGAGTCACAAGTACGTAACAGACCTTTAACCCCTTTCCCCATAATCAGGGGGAGAGAGGTTTGGTCTCTGGTAACCACATCCAGTGCAAACCAACGAGAGAACTGCGTAACACATATTTCCTGTAAAGCCGTGGTGGTATCACTGGTCGAGCCTGCTCATATTTGCCGAAGCATGGCTATCCCACGGTTGATCCTATTATTTTTTTGTTATTAAAAAGTAATCATTCAGCTAAGACCTCACTTATTTGACACAACTGGACTGTAATAACAACTTCAGTTCAAGAATATATGGTTAATCTCTACTCAACAATCGTTTAGTTTTGTAGACGTTTAAAGATATTTTGTAATCAATTTATTGATAAACTCGATGTTCTTTCATCAACAGCCTTTAATAGTCCACTGCTGGACATAAGCCTCTCCTTAGAAAGGAGGTTTTGGCCTACTATACCACGCTGGCCAGACAGGTTGGTATAGGGTTTGTGTCAAGTATTCCTTCTCTCTGCAGTTTGTTGTTCTGCGTAGTTTTTTCCCTTAGTCGGCTCTTACGACACCCACGGGATGAATAGTGGTGGTGACACTCTATTCTTAATCCGTCACCACACGTTCTTTAGCTAAATAATAATATTTTTAGCACATTTAATGTAGAACTTAAGTCAGATTATGTATATCACACAACCCCAACTTTAAACAATATGATTAATTCCTTAATTCAGAACCAAACTCCTTTTATACTGAATACAGCATGTTTAAGCAGATGGTCCACGAAAGACGTACCTAGTATACAAGATTATACAACTGAAGTATTCATCACTCACCAGGAATCTAACAACAGGTGAGTTGACGATATATTCCTTGATGTTCAAGTAATGAGTAGCCAGTAAAACATGTGGGCAGTGCTGTCTGAAAAGTAGGGTATTCAGACAAGCGGCCAACAGCGCGAGGCCGTCCGTTGCTGAAGTTCCTTTGCCGAACTCGTCCACTATCAGTAGGGAGTGGGATGTGGACTCTTGGAGGGCTAATGCCATCTGGGGAGCGATTTCAATAATAATAGTTATTTTTTTAAAAACAACACCGACTTCAATACACCTAAGTCATTGCGAATTTTTTTTGCAATAATTCATCAATTCTCTATTTAAATATTTTCCAAATAGAAAAAGGATTTTCCAAATTGGTTTACAAATGAACCGTTTTGTAGTCTCGTTTATTACTTTCCTGTGCACATAATTATCTCTGTAACCATAAACACCTAATAAATATCTTGAAAGATTACAGTTTAAAATCAATGCGGACTACTGGACACGCTCATGGCCACCTGCTACTTAAGAGTCACAAAGTGCCTTGCTGTTCCCCGCCCTCCAAAATCACAGAAAGGAGGACTTTGGGCTTCGGTAACTTCACACGCTCGGTGAAAAGCAACTAAAGAACTGCCTAGACGCCGTGGTATTAATCAGCCGGTCCATTTGTGTTGAAGCATGGCTCTCCCACGGTGGGTATAAGGATATAAATAAGGATGCCTCAGGTTGCTGTCAAAAGATTACCTGTCTTAAGTCTATGAGGAAAGCGGACATGTGCGCTGCGACACACTCGGTGCTCTGGATGCGAGTGTGGATGTGACGCACTATGCCTATTGTTGCAGACTCTGCTGGAACGAAGCTGCCGATGTGAGCCAGGTATACTATTAGACCTGAAAGCGACCATTAGAACCAGGGTGTTGCTGAAGAGCTTTTAAAAACCTATTTGACTTATTATATTTTTGAGGTGAAGGTAAGTTTACATTCAAGTATAATTGAATTTTACCTGAACGCAAGACCATCCGCAACCTACACCGTACCCGACTTTTTGGGAGTCGGCGTAATGTCTAATACCGACTATTACTTTTTTCCAAAATTTAGATAACTTTTTAGTGGGTAAAAAAATTCAATTCCCGAGAGGCAGCACAAAATGCCTTTGAAGAGTTTGTTGCCTCCCGTCCAGCTGATTTTTACAAGAAGGGCATCAATAAACTGCCAATGCGTTGGCATAGATACGTCGATTGCATGGGTGATTACTTCGAATAACAGAAATAAAAAAGTTTGAAAAAATAAGTACTTTCACTTATTGCATACAAAACGGCAATTTCATAGGTAAATACCTATTAAAATTATTTGCCCCGACTGATCTCATCAACGCAGAGCCTTATTTTACCCCCTGAGGCTACAAACTTTGGCTACAAGGCTACAAATTTTTGGCAACTAATGCTCTTTATGTTGTAAGCACCCACTATAAAAGGATTTTTGGAAATATCACCCCTAAGGGGGTAAAATAAGGGTTGACTTGTTATATGAAAGTTTGTCATTTTCAAAGTTACGAAAATAATTAACTAACCTATTTGCTTCATGTACACCGACTTGCCACTGGAGTTGGGTCCAGTCAATATCTTTACAAATCCAGCCTCCTGGCTGCTCTCCAAGTCATTGGGCACGAAGTTATCACAAGTCAGCATGTACAGCGGATGCTTGCCTTGTTTGATACTGATTACCTTCTCTGGTGTTAGAGTGGGACGGACGTAGTTGTACTCTTTGGAAACTTTCGATATTGCTATTAGACTAAAATATTAATAATGGTAAAGGCCTTTTTATTTTATTTTATCTAAATCAAAATTAACTCTATATTTTTCTTAAACCTTTTTTTGACTCACAAATTGCCAAAGTAAAAATTGTGATTAGCAAATGTCAATTAAAAAAAAAGTACTTATATTTTATTTTAATTTATCTTGGCCCTTACATATATAATAAATGTAACAAGGTACACAAAATACAAAAGCTCAGTCATCTAAAACTTAAGAGTTGTATATACCTGGCCGAGTACAAGGGACTACGACACTGTTAAAACTCTATTAAGAGTCGATAAGTGATGAACTAACTTATTACCTTAGTGAACCAACTTATGCCCTAACACACATATATAAATTCCAACACACACACACACACACAGCGCATGAATTGGATTATTATTTTAAATTTTAATTTTGTTTTTTTTCCTTTTTTTCTATTTTTATTTATTACTAGCTGAGACCTGTGGTGTTACCCGCGTTTGTTGTTATAACCGCGGGCAACGCCGCGGGGCGAAGCTAGTCTAAAAAAAGTAGCCTAAGTTACTCCTTATGTCATCAGCCGTCTGCCAGTGAAAGTACCGTCGAAATCGGTCCAGCCGTTCCAGAGATTACCAGGAACAAACAGACAGACAGACAAAAATGGTAAAAAATGTTATTTTGGCATATGTACCGTGTAAGCATACATATGCATTTAGTAAAAAGCGATTATTTTAATATTACAAACAGACACTAAAATTTTATTTATTTGTATAGAAAAATAAAAATAAAATGTTGAGGACACTGGCTCCTGCAACACAGTATCTACTAGTGTAGGCGCTAGAGAATTCTGAAATTAATGTAAGTTTAATGTCAATAAAAAAAATTATTATTATTATTATAATCGAGCCCGTGACCTGACTTCACTTAAAACAACAGTTTACTTAAAAAGTTTTAGTTACTTCTAGTTTTAGTCTTTCTAGTCCTTTTTAATTACTTCTAGAGTCAATAGTGTTAGTTACCAGTCAAGTTCAGAGCACATGTTGACTACCGTGGCCAGTGTGTGCAGATGCTGCATCATATGGGCGGTGAGCCGCATCATGATACGTGTCTCGTGGGCCACTATCTCTGGGTACGTATCTCCTATCAGAACGTCCAGCTCTGTCAAAGAGGAGGGTCCTAAATTTTTGATATCAGAGGGTATTTTATCCTTAGGGTTCGGACTGCGGTCGATTTAATTTCCATAAAATGTTATATTACTAAAAGCGCCAACACTTTAAATATGTTAAACAGATGGTCACGTATGCACCCTATACCAACTCGTCTGGCCAGCGTGGTATAGTAGGCCAAAACCTCCTTTCTATGGAGAGGTGGTGTGAATGATACCCCACTTACTATAAATATTTAATGTTTTTTTTTGTATTTCTATTGAAAACATGCTACGACTTTACCTTCACATCCTTTGCTTTTGTAGTGTATGTAGTCATTATTTTGGAACTGTAACAAAAAATAATTATCACCAGTACCTAAGCAAATATTCGTATTTTATATCGATAACATGTATACAGGGTGTAAGGGACATCGTAACCAATACTGAAATATTGTATTCAGACCATGATTCCGAGTCGAAAATCATTGGAATTTTCTGCTTGAAAATTTATCAATTTTTTTTATTTATTTATTTTTTGGTTAAAAATGATATCACAATGATTAAACAGAACATTTCACCGAAAACAAAATTAATAAATACCGCAAAATTAATATATACGGTCAAAAACTGCAATGTAATTTATCAAAAAGCCGAAGCGCGTGGGGCCTCCTCTCCGGCCGCCAACTTGTGTTAGTGTGCGTAGACTGTTTGCACGGAATACACATGTAGTTATTACTTTTGTGCGATACCTTCAGGGAATGACCTTTACCTTTACCTTTTAATTTTCCGGCAGAAAATTCCGGTGATTTTAGACTCAGAATGATGGTCTGAATACACTATTTCAGTATTCGTTACGATGTCCCTTACACCCAATATATGTCATATAGGTATAACTAGCATATTTTTACTTATGAAAAAGATTTGCTTACTGGGTGGTGATCGAATCCACGACAAATCGATTGCAGTTATGACGCTTTGGCTATTACGCTATCACTATGTTATTATGGAGTTTCTTTATTTATAAGAATTTGGTTATAATGCAGTCAATGTCACTGATATTATTACCATTATAATACGTATAATAGTGTTTAACGTCACAATTAATTATTTAGTCACATTACAATATAATTTCGCGTCAAGAAGAAATTTCGTAAAAGAAAAAATGGAAAAAGCCAGCGTAAGGACAAATAACAGTATCTCACATAATGAACTAGATAATATTTTGTGGGTAACATAAATAATAAACATTCGGTATGATATGATATAGGAACACATGTATAATATGTCTGAAAAATTCGATTTAATAGATTTTTACTAAAAACCATTAGTTTTTATTGTTAATCCGAACATTAAGAGCAAATGAATTGACTATAGCAAAGTGTGACATCAAAAGTCGAAATTTCATACGAATATTTCACAGAATCTAATTCGAAACAACGAAACACCTGACCTTTAATAAAGAAAAAAATACTTATTTGACTTGACAGGTAACTACCGTATTGTGACGTCAACGTGCAAATAACACCGAATGATGGGACGTTTATCAGCAATTAACAGAGTTAGAGGCTATGAAGTGAAGGTTTTTATAAACCCCATAAAGGACTTACCATAAACTTCATATCATTGAGATTCTTGTCCTCGGCAGACAAGTTCTCCGCCCACACCTTAACTCCTAACAAATATCCAAGGTGCGGCATGTACAGCATGCTGCATTCCTGGATGTAGGTGGGCAGGCGATCCAGTTCCACTTTAGCGGTTTCTGACATTAGACCTTGGAGGCTGGCCATTGTTTGTTTTTCTATTTAATACAGAATTGAAGACTGTTTAACGCCAGATGATCAAATTTGTATCTCATTCTTACAGCTGATGATATTGATCAATGAATAATTTGTAAGTTTAGCGAGAGTATTCGGAGGTTCAAAAATGATAAACGAATGTTCTGAGAAACAACATTTTGTTTACAATATTTTGACAAAATATTGCAGGAAGTATGTCTGCTCCCATAAGAAAGTCATAATCAAAACTAGGCAGTAGAACCAAATATTATTTAGAACCAAATATTATAGCAGGCAAACGTTAGTTAATTAATTCTATATATATTTTCTACCAAGGTGTATTCATATGTGAAAGAATGAATTATGAATGTGAAAGTGATTTTGTTTGTTTGTTACGCTTTCACGCCTAACCCGATTTTAAAAATTCAACAATGGAAAGCTACATTATCAGCGAGTAATATTGGCTACTTTTTAACCGACATAAACATTTTTTTATGAGGGTATAAACAAATTAATTGAAAGATCTGAAAAATGTATCCGTCTTGCAGGTGAATATATTGAAAAGGAAAAATAATTTGGTTTTTTTATTTCCACCCCTTATCACCCATTCCGCGAACATAAAAACGCTCCCTCGTACATGCACATAGTGAGATGAAGTTCTTACTGCGGTCCAATTCAGGGTCCACTCCAGCCTTAACGGTAAACTTGCCTTCAGTTTTAGATAAATCGAAGTCTATTATTCTGTTCATGTATAGCGCCATCTGACATATTAAGAGCCATTATATCTTTTCTGTATATACGACGTTTTTTATTATAATTTCATTTCATTGTAGGCTTATTCCTATTTAGTACCTTTATAAGAATTATAGCAAGGTGGTTTACAAACTAGTATTCTTGTTAAGTTCACTAGATACGATAGATAACTGGTGGTCTGAGGTGAGAGGTCGACTTAGAAAGAGGAGTACCTTTACCTTAGGAGTGGATCCATATCGGTATTTTATTTGGTTGGGGGTTGAACCCCGTAACATGGAACTTGTATTATAAAAGTTTTTGACGCTTGTATGTGAATATTTTATTTTCATTACATTATGTATTTTTAATTAATTTATAACAGCCTGTTAATAATTATTAAATTTAGTTTTTATCTATTAAATCACTAATATATAAATATCGTATAATACCTCGTATAGTTTATTATTGTCAAAACTTGCGAGCTTTTGTAAGAACTCGCTGTGATTCCCAGCCTCTTCACACATCTCACAAATAAGCACGGCGTTGTATAAAGTCTAAAACATTGAGAACATATCATCATCATCATCATCATCATCAACAGCCTTTAACAGTCCACTGCTGGACATAGGCCTCTCCTTAGAAAGGAGGTTTTGGCTACTATATCACGCTTGCCAGACGAGTTGGTATAGGGTTTGTTTCAAGTTTTCCTTCTCTTTGCAGTGTTGTTGTCCTGCAAAGTTTGCTCCCTTAGTCGTCTCTTACGACACCCACGGTATGAACAGGGGTGGTGACATTCCGTATTCTTAATCCGTCACCACAAGAGAAAATATAAATTACCTTAATTTAAGTTACGCAAGTATTAAATTTCAATAAAAGGTCAAGGAACTTACGTTGTACAACGATTTCCATTGGTAAGATTTGGCTGATAAGGCTTTGATTTTTGTTAGTATGCCCTGGAAATATTATCGATTGCTTAGAAAGCTATGTTATTAATATTTGTATTAGTAAATATTTGTTCATCTGTTCATCGTTCTTTACATTTGGGTAGAGTATTTATTTTGTATATTTCGTTTTTAGTACATTTTGTCGAGCACAACAAGAAGTTACTAGATTAAAATAAAATTTGGTACACAGTCTAGTGACGTAAATAATTGAAACGCTTAAATCCTAATCATAAAATAAAATTATTGGTGATAGTCTCTGCGATTTCACATGTGATAAATCCTTCCTGGGCTTTGGTCATAGACAAAGAAAAATGCCATTAAAACTTAAGCAAAGAAAAAACAAATTTATTGAATTTTCTTTTAACAAAGACTACCTTTTCTTAGATATAGACCTTACGCAAGGCTAGTAACGTAATCATAATCACATAATCATGTCATATTTTTGTGGATTAGACACATGTGATATTATGTATGATAGATTATTTATATCATTTGACTAATCACACGTGATTGTGATTGTATTCCATCCCTAGTTCACACGTTGGAATATAGCTATATCTGATAATAAGCGACCACCATCGCTTATGGAAATAGAACAATCTGTTTTCTTCAATGGAGGATTCTATAGCTGTGCTTTTTGATTTCGATTCGATGGTTGGAGATACGAGAATGAATTATCTATCCGTTTATTAGTATTAGGTATATTCAATAAATTTGTATTTTTTAGTAAATTATTCCAATTTGTAATTTGGACGTTAAAGGATTTTTTTTAAACACAACTCCCGCACTAGAAATAAATCATGTGTCGCGGGGGACTTTACAAACATACACGAAACGGACACAAAAAACACCCAGACTCAGAACAACAATTTGTTGATCACACAAAGTGTCGTCCCATGTGGGGTTTGAACCCACAACACTCGGCGCAGTAGGAAGCGGCGTGGCGACCGCTTAAACCACTACGCCATCCGTGCAGTTAAATTTCCCTATCTAGGTTTAGTCGACTACTCTTTGTTTCAAAAGCAAGTGTCTTTAGTTATCAAGAATACTTCTAAATGTTATCGAGGAAATGTGCGAATTGGCGACTCACATGAACGTTTTTTATATATCGCAGTGAAGAGCAGATGTTCCTCATCAGGGATTCATTCTGCGGTCGCATGAAGAATGCGATCACGTCCTGACGGTGTTTCAGCATTTCCAGGTCGCAGGTAGGATGTTGTAAGAGCACCCTGGCGTAAATGTTTGGATGCAGACGATATAAGTGACAATACATTTAAGAATTGTAATAAAAACTTTACGCATCTTACATACGAGTATATAGACATTGTATTTTTTTGTATAAGATTGTACTCATTACATAGTTATTCGTCCTGGGTGGGAATCAAACCCACTACCTGTGAGTTAGCAGCCTGGATGACTAACCAATGTTAGCCTTTTTAATTGCACATCATCACATCAACAGCTTTTAATAGTCCACTGTTGGACCTCTTTAGAGAGGTTTCCTTAGAAAGGAGGTTTTGGCCTACTATACCACGCTGGCCAGACGGGTTAGTACAGAGTTTGTGTCAAGTTTTACTTCTTCATGCAGTGTTGTTGTCTTGCGTAGTTTGCTACATTTCGTATTCTTAACACGTCACCACACACCACCACACATTTATTATTATTTTATTGGAACGAAGTTCCTTATCGCGCGTTGTGAAACGGGCTAGACGGAAAAAAATCTCACGAAAAGTTGTAACGACACTTTTTATTTTGAATTGTCACTTGTCAGTCATTCAGCGCCATCTATCGAATAGATAGGAAATCATTACTTTTCATCTCAGTAAAATTAAAATTTATGTTCTTAGGTTGAGCAAAAAATATTGTATTCGACATCATTTCTCAAGGAGATTTTACCAATGTATAAATTGTTTTAATTAGAAACCAACTGAAAAATATGTAGGTAATAGCCGCTTTCATAGATGGCGTTGTAATTAAAATCGTGTCGAATCAGTTTTACTCGATCGTCACAACTTCGTTCCTATCGGTCGTCCCACGACACCACACGGCTTTTCTGTTTTTACTTCGTGATTCATGCACAGTACAAATGGAATACTGCCGGGACATTGATCGTCAATTTCAAGAAATCATTTTTAAGGGAATATATTCAAAAATATAAAGCAATATCCTACCTCATCTTCGCCTGTCCGATCTTAGAGCGACATTTACTGAACACCTGGAACAGGCTAAGTCCCTCCCTGCTGGAACCGCGAGTACCTCGCTTGAAAGCGCTGGGATGCACTATCGCACTGAACACTTGGAGACCCCTGTATGTGTCTTCGTCAACAGTTACTATGTCCGCACTAAAAACATTAAAATAATACTTGTGTTTGCCAAGTTGTTGAAAAAATACCTTTATTTACATTAATAAAAATATAAAAAAACTGTGGACACACTGGAGAAAACATGATTTGAGTCTTAGTAGTGTGAAGTGAAGTGTCGCACTACAGAACAACTAAAATAAATTGACCAACTTTATAAAGGTTTATATGACTGACACCGACGCAGAATGTCGCTTCAACCCTTGATTTATTTCAGAAATATTTATTTAATGAGGTATCGTTACTGTTAACTATATATAATATAATATATCTCACACATCTCACACACGGCCGTCTGATCCCAAACTAGGCAGAGCCTGTACTGTACTGTGGTAATTGACTGCTGATAAACATACTTATATATTTTTAAATACATACTAAAAACATATTATAGATAAATTACTCCCAGACACAGAACAAATGACCGTGCTCATCACACAGTATTTTTCCTGGGTGGGAATCGAACCCAGGACCTCCGGTTTAGCAGTCAGGGTCACTAACCACTAGACGAACAGGCCAGCCCAGATAGTAACAAAGGGAACATAATATATGTATGTAGTTTAATAACACTTACAGTGAAATAATTCTGAGACTGAGAAAATTTGGCTTCCCATGCAACTCCATACTCAACTTCGCCCAGTTGAGATCCAAGTACCTTAGCAAAGCACCCATAGCGTGAACGCTTTGTGTTTGGCTGAAGTCTATAACTGTTCGGAGGTATAACGATCGCTCTTCGTCTGAGCAGTTGAGGGGTTCCGTTGGTAGGGAGAGGGAGGCGATGCGACGCTTACATGCTTCGAAACCTTTGGAACAGCATATGATAAAAGTTTTTTTATGGTAACGGAGGCAAACCATCAGCTGGAACCCCCTGATGGAAAGTGATAACCGCTGCCCATGAACGCCTGCAACTCAGCGGTCACAAGCGCGTTGCCGATGTTTGAGGTGGGTGTCGTATTAACGGTTTATTTAAGCCTATTTAATTCGTTGTGTATTTGTTTTGATGTAAAACATTTTCCCCGTTCTGTCCTACAAATTAGGGAAGTGATTTTGTGTGTAAAATGCCATTAAGATGCAGTCAAAAATGCGCGCTATTTGGTTTGACCAATAAGCGCTTGGGGTGCTAGTTAGGCATCCGACCGAAACGGAACAAATACTAAAAGTAAACTAAAAAAACGTATTTGCAATATTTTTTGTAGTGGTGGTAATTGAAGAATAAAAGTAACTAGATATATTTTGGGTCGAAATATTTGACTTTTGGTAAATAAAAGTCCAAATTACTTACTATATTCCTTTGGAGATAAAAACACCAGTTTACACCGACCCTCATCATTTGCATCGTTGTCAAACACCGTTTTCTTGACGGTCTGCACAAAACCGCCTTGGTTCTTGCCTTCAAGCAGAATGCATATTGGTTCCACTTGTCGGAACAGACTTGCAAATATCTGGTATTCTGGTGGACGGTCAACTATCTCTTCCAGTATGAATAGCTGGTAAATTTTTGGGCATTTACACAAAAATGTATTTCATTAATAGAACATTTTTTTTTATCATCAGATCATCGGTGATGAGCCTGATGGTGCTGTCAAAACAAATGTGAAGCTCAAACTAAAGGTTTGCTAGTAGCCATTGAAGAATTCCACTATCCACCTCGTCACGCCATCATCAGATTACCTCCAAGATGCCAAATATAAATTAAATTAGTTAATAAAATTTCTTAGAAGCCTTATGTTTATTAACACCGTAATTTAAAAGCTAAAAAACAATAAAAATATACCTAAATCAGCGATCTACTAATTTATTATGCTACGAGTGTACTCCGAACTCATCTTTAAGAGTTTTGAGAGTCTATTCAGGAATTGTTATTCTCAGCAATAACTAGACTAATGTATGTAGATTTTTTTTATTAATTGTGTTGTATCCATACTAATAATATAGATGCGAAAGTGTGTCTGTCTGTTACTTCTTCACGCTTAAATCGCTTAGATGAAATTTCTTATAAAGATAGTCCGAGCCCTGGGAAAGGACACAGGGTAGTTTTTAATCGGTAGTTGCCCGAAATCATCCTTTAAGGGGGTGGCATTTTGTATGGGGAATCAATAACCGCTGAACCAATTTAGATGAAATTTGGAATAGAGATACTATGATTCTTGAGAAAAGACATAGGATATAACAGATATTTACGCGGGCGGAGCCGCGAGCAAAAGCTAGTATTGTATATGTTGTGTTTTTTATTTATTTATTTTTACGTGTATACGACTTTCTCTTGATGTTCATCAATGTCCTCTCTTCACTCCTAAGGTTTGTTGGAAGAAAACTCAACTATGGGTAAAACTCGCCTATATGCGTTCTAGTTTCCTTACGAGTAATTACTAGAATAATTATAAAATATTTTGTGCGTACAAAAAGAAGAATTAAAAATACTAAGTAAAAAAACGAACCCGCAATCACTTAAACACAAGTCTTTAACCATATATTTGCTTTACTTACCTCTCCAGTTTGCAGGCAACAGTAGGCAGCACCCAGTCTTCCCGAACGACAATATGTCACCAGGACACGCTGGACATCATCACAATTACATAGAGTGATATTATACAAGGCAATTAGTTTATATTATGGTTGCCATCTTAGTTCATATATATTGTATCGTACTACAAAACAACTAAAGCAAATAGGACATATTTCTTATACTGTGCGTGATAGCTATGTTTTATACTCGCTAAAGATCATGCGACAAGACAGCTGACACACACAGTGAAAACGAAATATAGTGGCTAACTGTTGGACACAATTTTTTTAGAAGCTTTGACTAACTATCTAGACATATTATTTTTGGAAATTTCTCTCCTAAGGGGGTAAAAAATCCTGGTATCTTGTCACCACAATTTTAAACATGGGTAATTTTTATACGAGTATTGTATTGTATTGTATTACTGACTAATATACATGAAATATTCAAAACTGACCTCCTCTGTTTCAGACTCTTCGGTGGTTTCTTGTTGTTCGTCTGTTTTCGTATTAACAATTACTTCATCATTTCTTAGAGCAATCGAAATTAATAATTAATGAAAATTATATTTAATAGACCTAAGAACATACACTTATAAACAATACAAACGCTAAATGGTCTAAATAAAATGTGTACACTTTCTCGGCTATTTGTTATATATTACAATCTTTTTTGTGCAATCACTCCCACACATTTATTATCATCATTATCATCATCATCATCATCAATAGCCTATAATAGTCACCTCTCCTTCTAAAGGAGGTTTTGGCCAACTATACCACGCTGGCCACACGAGTTGGTATAGGGTTTGTTTCAAATTTTCTTTCTCTTTGCAGTGCTGTTGTCCTGCGTAGTTTGCTCCCGTAGACGGTTCTTACGACACCCAAGGAATGAGAGTAATAGGGAAATAGGGTTGGGTCACTCCGTATTCTTAATCCGCCTCTCTTTGAAGATGTTCATTCATTTTTTTTACGAAATATCCTAGGAAATTGGATTACAAAGTCGAGTATAACCCGAATTATCAAAATCCATGAAGCCGTTTCGATAATATGAGTTAATAAAGAATATTAAATACATACTAATACGCACGAAAACAATTACCTTTCCTTGGCAGTTAAGGGTTACTTATGATAGGTTTGTTACAAAAACTTTCTAGGTATTGTATAGAGTAAAAAAATATTTATTTACTTAAACCTCTACTTTTTTAAAAGACAATTGTATTATTTTTCAAGCAATTGTAAACAGACGCACCTTGACAACTTATATTAAGTTCATACTCATATATTAAGGAATAGATAAAATGTAACCGAAAAGATTCCAAGACTGACGCGTATAGTATAGTACGTAATTAAACCAACCTTCGGCATTTTGCAATAACGAAATGATTTTCGTTCTCATGAGAGTCCACATTACTGCCATTGCTTGCAGTTCCTGACGTCGACGGTCTGTCTAATAAAATATTTTCCATATTTAAAAAGCAAATAATTTAATAAGATAGGTTTCCGCGGAATGACTTTCGACGTTGAAAAAATAATTCCCGCCTATATTTTATTTTCACTGGAATCGATTTTTAAATGATTTAACTTTTTTTGACTAAAACAATCATTTTTTCGGCCAACATTTAAAAGTAACTTAAAAAATCTGAATTAATAAGCGAAAAAGAAAACTTCATATTGTTTAGTAGTACCTATAGTATAGATTTATTTAAAAATATCATAATTAGCATAACAAAGATTTTTTTAACATTTAAACAGTATGACATCATTTTACTTTTTAATTTAATTTGGTGCGGACACACAACTTATATAGGTGACCAAAAAGTTTATAAATCTTATAAATAGGTACTTAAGGTAAAGGCACTTATGGCAATAATGTTTTTTTTTATTTATAGTTATTGGGACAATAATGACTTGGCTATGACGGTAGTATTGCTTAAATAATGTTTTCTTTTGAAAGGATAGGTATATGAGTGCTCCACATAAGACATATTAAATGAAATAATCTATTGTAGTAAACTAGTAACTATAGACTTATGTACTCGATTCTAGTACGTATAATATTTGTGTTACCATATTGTGTCGATGGGTTTGATGATAGACTCTGACGAATAGTTACTAAGTTTTTAAAAAAACATAGCTTGGTAAATATTATAATAGGCTTGGAAATGACACCCACATAGAATAATTAAAACAAGATGACCGCTGTTCTAAATTTAAAAATTGAAATTGGCTTTATTTTATGTAGTAACATAGATTAAATACTTGTTAGATAGTGATGAATTTATTAGTAGAACCTTATATTCAACACATACTTCTATCTATGGTACGTATTATGCAATGCATAATTTTAGTTTTAAATCAGAATGGTCTTTAATCTAAGACATAATCTAATAAAAAATAAAATAAAAAGCCAACATTTTCTATTTTTCTTTTTAAATTGGCAATGACATAATTTAAAAAAGAATAACTAAAGCCCAGAGATAGGTGAGGCCGGCTTTAGGTAGTGTAAATGTCTATAATTAATTTCCTTCACATTATTTCATGTGGAACACTCACACTTGTAAAACTTTCTACCACATTTAAATGACGAGTAAATCCTTGTCTTCGGGGGCATCTTGCCTATAATTAACCCTGATATGCCTACAAATGTGCCCTACAGCGTCAGCTGCAGGTACAACGGTAGCCGCCATGCATGACTGGACCATGGTGCGGAGTGAGGCGAAGTAGATCTTCACGCAGCGTAAGCATGGAGCGGTGCACCAGATTTGCTGCAAGTAAGAGGATAGTAAAACGTGATTAAATCTGTGACTGGTGACTATTTAAATCTGGTCAACAGAAACAGGGCACCTTTTAGGGCACCAAACATTTTTGAAAAGTGCCTCAATTAGATTCTATTATGATAATATCACAGTAGTTTGCCGTTCTTAGTCGGCTCTTAGGACACCCACGGGATGAATAAGGGTGGTGACACTTCGTATTCTTAATCCGTGACCAACTGGATGATGTGTTGATTGTGTTAATATACCACTATAAAAACATAACATTTTTATTCAGCCGAGAAGTGCCATAAAATGCGCTTTAATTTTTAATTTTATTACCTTTCAAACTTAATAAACCCTACATACGATCCAACCGTACATATTTTCTATGGTGATCGTTTTATATTGTATGTGTCAACTTCAGTATATCATCATCAACAGCCTTCAGTAGTCCACTGGCTGGACAAAGGTCCCCTTAGAAAGATATCTTAAATCTATATTCCGTCAACCTTACGTCAACTTTTATCCACTGGCATGTTGCCACAACATAAATTTGATAGTAATTATGGATTCGTTCACTAGCTTCAGTGCTTACCTCAAAAGCGAGGCAGGCGAATCCACATCCGAGTAGCAAAGCGCAGGGAGGCGCTAGTATAACTGTCAAAATGGTGTAGCACCAGTTCCTTGCATGGCGAAAGCACAAGTATGAGAGACGCCAAGCACACTCAGGACTTCGGGCCCCTTCCGGTTCACCGATGATATCATCCCACACTATCTGTATAAGGAGATAAATATTATAATTATTGGGCTTCGCGTACTAGTGACTGATGACTGCACGGATGGCGTAGTGGTTTAAGCGGTCGCCACGCCGCTTCCTACTACGCCGAGTGTTGTGGGTTCAAATTCTACACGGGACGACACTTTGTGTGATCCACAAATTGTTGTTCTGAGTCTGGGTGTTCTGTGTGTCCGTTTCATGTATGTTTGTAAAGTCCCCCGCGACACAGGAATATATTCCTATGCGGGAGTTGTCTTTTTTAACAAAAAGAAAGAAAAAGAAAAGAAAGTGACCTCCTATGTAGTAGTTAAAACACACATATGCATACAATCAAGTATTTTTCCTCGAAGCCAACGTCTCTGAATTCCAGTTCCACTTACGTAATAGTTGACCAGCCTATTGCCTTTATAGGGTCATAACAACAACAGCCTCTAATAGTAGAAAGTAGTAGACATAGGCCACTTCTTAGAAAGGAGGTTTTAGCCTTTTCAAAATTTCATTTCATTTTATAATTCAAACATTTCAATATTCCTGCCGTTTAGATATAATTACTATGCTCAAGTTTTAATAGATCGAATAACAAAAAGTCCGACTTAATGATAATAATTCGAAACATAAAAAAATTAGAATTCTTTCAAATAAAAATATTTTTTTTCACTGGTCATAGATCTAACCTAACTTTCCCCAAATGATTCACCAACTGTAGAGGAACAAATAGAAATTCGGCATAAAAAAATTCGGAGGATTTTGGCGTTCTCCTGCTGGACTCCTTAGACTCCTTAGTTTTGGCCTACTATACCAAGCTGGCCAGACGGGTTGGTATGATGGTTGTTCCGAGTTTTCTTTCCCTTTGCAGTTTGTTGTTTTGAGTAGTTTGCTCCCTTAGTCGATTCTTACGACACCCAAGGGATAAATAGAGGTGATGATCGTCCATATTATTAATCCGTCACCACACGGAATCGGGTCATACAATATATTCCTAAATTATCATACTTTCTAAGGACAAACATATTGTAGATAAATTACACCTTATACACATAATCATGCTCAACACACAATATTTGTCCTAGGTAGGTATCGAACCGACGATCTTTAGCCTTGTGGAGGAACGGGTGTCATGTCCCTCCAACACAAAGGGAGGATCCTCCGACCAGGCGAGGTGATCATGCCTGGCGGGCCGCGGCCCAACGGTTGATGTTGGGAAGTTGTATATATGCTAATCGCGAGGGAATTCTTTATATCGCGATACAGGATTAGCAATTCTTATTTTAGTAGTTACTCCGTAGTTCGGTGTGTCTTCATTAGATGGCGCTGTCGTATGTTTATGTGGGAGTCGCCACAGCCTTTCAGTCAGGATCTATAACCACTAGACTAACAGGCCAGTCAGACTGTAATGATAAGTAAACAGTTTACTATGTTGTTTTCATGATAATCAAAGAAGGAACATACTTTCGACCTACAACAGCATAAAAATTTGTGTGTAAATTTATAAAAAAAAATGTACAATAGGTTCAATCTAAAAGGGCTCTGTAGTCAACCACAATAGTGGAATTGACCCAAATGCTATTGTGATCGTGGCACACTTTTAGCAAAGCTTTTGTGTTTGCGTCTATTATGTTAGTATGTCAATGTCATAAGCTCAGTGTGATTATTTAAATTAAAATAAACCTGCCGTAGGTTTATTTTAATTTCGTATCGTAATCGTAAATTTGAAACCCTAACTCACAAACCCTTAATTTTAGAACATTTTTAAAACGAAATAGGGAATTATAACGCCATTTGTAAATTGACAATCAAATGACAACCGAATGCTCAGTAATCACGGCAACAAATAAAATCGGAAATGAGTATAAAGAAGCGTTCCCGTACTGTCCTTATTCTAAAGTAGATGAGAAGTTAATGTCGTTGTCTATGGTTACTTTCGTATATACTTCCCGCATACGCAGTTAGTATATTACTTAAACCTTTCTACATCAAGTAACTATAATAAAACCAAGCCTAGAATTTAATAGATCATTGCAACATTATTTTCAAATGACATTTTTAATATAGTACACCACCATTTCCCGCCATTTTAACAAATTGCCGTTCCATTATACGTATTTGGTTCATTGGACTTAGAAAATAATGAGGTTATGTTGAACTCATTACTATATTAAACAGAGCTCTTATCATTTCAATCAAGGTACACAAACTCTTGATTATAGTTTGTTTGTGAACTATATAAATCAGGGGCGTAAAATCGCGTACCTTAGTTATGTTATACTCGTATTTAGTTCATAAAAAAGTTTGATAACTGAGTTAATAAAAATCTGAGTTTTATGGTTTCACAACACGAAGAAGAACAATATGTGTTTGAGAATTTTCCTAGATTTCTTACTACTGTGCGGCAAGTCCGTGTCGTCCGTGTAGTGACGGATTAAGAATACGGAATGTCACCCCAATTCATCCCGTAGGTGTCGTAAGAGCCGACTAAGGGCGCAAAACAACGCAGGACACCAGCACTGCAAAAAGAAGGAAAACTTGACACAAACCCTATACCAACCCGTCTGGCCAGCGTGGTATAGTAGGCCAAAACCTTCTTTCTAAGGAGAGGCCTATGTCCAGCAGTGGACTATTTAAAGGCTGTTGATGATGATGATGATGATGTGCGGCAAACATAAAAACTATTTTATATGTCACTCTCTTCACATAAACTAGACAAATCGTTTTCCGTTGCCATGCATCGGTGCATATTGCCCGCCTCGACCGGACTACCGGACGAATAGGAAAACGGCGTAGTTTTATATTTATTCGTAGAATTTGGACAAAAAAAAACAAAAACATAAAGAAAAACATTGATACACTCAAACGTATGTTTCACTCATTACCGTCATTCTACACAACGATTGTGTTTTCAGCACTCTCATACGTTACAGATAAACGTTTTAGCAGCACCCCTGTACGGAACACAAGGGGTGCGGATAACAGCAAGCTCAGAATACAACAGTTATGTAGCCAGTAGTAGTGGTTATATATAATATAGTATGTTTTATCAGCACTGGAGAAAGTTTTTATCAAGACAGGGTGTGTGTTCTCCAGCAGTGAAGGAGTCAGTAATTATTTCGTAGCTTTTCATCGTATGAGTGAGATTGCTAGAGGCCCAAACTGCCCTCTTCTCCAATTCCGGAGGGCTGGGGTGTCTACTTAATATTTAGCTTAACTTACATAATGATAGAGGACTAAAGAGTCGTCTATTTCCCCATTGTAACGTTGAAACATAAACGCTTCGAATAAAAAAAAGACTGAACAAAACATTTTTGTCGGCTTTAATAAGTGTTGAAAATTATGAACACACTTTTTGTTACATATTGCATAACTTATGTGATAAACATAATAAAATAGTTTTTGTAGACGATTCTACCGGGGAATCTACAATTCAATCCGTATCTTAGGGTTACCTAAGTGTTAACCCTAAGTCATTTCCTCTGGGACAGGGCCTGATTTGGGGAGGACCTGAAATCACATGGTCCTGGTCCTCCTAGAGTAGGGCGCCCGAGGCTGGCCGTCGGGGTGGTTTTTAGTGGAATCACTACATTCACCTGGGTCCTGAGTCCCCAAGGAGCATTAGATCCGAGGAGATTTACCACCCCGTTAACATAAAAAAGGTAACTAAGGTAACAAAAATTAGCAAAATAGCATAAATAGCAGTAAAATTAGCATAATTTTAGGTTTACTGAATTGAGCGCGTCGGTAGTGACTGAATGAAGTCGTTCGCGTGACCACATTCACGACCAGTCTTGGCTACAGGTCACCCCCGATGTACTCTATAGTACCTTCTTTGTTTGCAAGCAATTCACTAATGACTGTTTGAGTTTCATTATTTTTCTACCTAATAGTACCTCTTGGAAATTAATAATTCAAAAAACTGTCAACATGATTGATAAACGGTCCAAAAATCTATAAGATTTCTTTAGTCTCCTTGAATTGCTTTTAATTTTTCTTTATCATGTGGAAATCCATAGGGGTTATTACTTCACAGAGACTCAAGCTCTCGCAAAACCACAAGCAATTGAAATTGTCAAATTGTCATTTGTTCCAGAGTTTAGTTTGTCTTGAAAAATGTACAATGATGGAGTAGAATAATCCTAGAGATGCGAGCATCTGATAAATTTCTTGGAACACTCACTCCCGCACTAGGAATGTATCATGTGTCATGGGGGACTTTACAGACATTCCTTCAATTTAGACTCAGAACAACAATTTGTGGATCACACAAAGTGTGACAACACTTTCGTTCGATCCCCACATGGGACACCATTTACATTCATTCATTCATTCGCAACACAGTGCAGTAGGAAATGGTGGGTTGATCGCTTAAACCACTACGCCCTTCATGCAATCAATGTGCTAATTTAGTATATTTGGATAAATATTTGGTATAAAAATAACATTAGGTACATCAAATTTAAAAATTGTAGGCGGGGACATTAAAGCTGTAAGCATTTTACGAACAGGGAATAAACAGCTGGTATATGTTAATTTTGAACTTGACATTATCACAATGAAGTACAAACACTTTATGTATATTCGCTAAGGTGGCATTTCACTTAACTTAGGAGTCGCCACAATGTTTTCATTACAGTTTTATAAACGAGGGTTAATTAAAGACTTATAGCAATTCAATATGTAAATTACTTTCCGGTTCGTGAAAAAGGGATGTAATTTTGTAGGGTTTAGTTCTATTTTTATAAATGAATCATACTCGTAGTGGGTATTTATAAGGAAAACAAAAAAAAAAATTGAGGATTAACTAGTTCTATTCATAAGTTCATAATAATTTCTATTATTTTTATTATCCACCACCAGCCTTTAATAGTCCACTGCTGGACATAGGCCTCTCCTTAGAAAGGAGGTTTTGGCCTACTATACCACGCTGACCGTCTGGTGGTGGAGCGTGGTATAGTTGGGTGGTATAGGGTTTGTGTCAAGTTTTCCTTCTCTTTGCAGCGCTCCTGTCCTGCATAATTTGCTCCCTTAGTTGGCTCTTACGACACCCACGGGATGAATAGGGGTAGTGACATTCTGTATTCTTAATCCGTCACCACTCGGTCATTTTTTCGGACAATCGGATTTTTGATATGATTTTTCACTACATTGGCTTCATCATCATCATCAGCCTTTCGCAGTCCATTGCTGGACATAGCTCTCTCCCATTGCACGCCACTTCCATCGATTTTCAATGGCTTTGTAAATTGAAAAAAAGGAGTTGCGTTTTATCAAGAACGTTTTTATCCAGATTTTAACAGTATTCTTTTTTTTATTTAAAAGTCTTCGTCTTATATTCGTATTTGTAGATTTCTTGTATTAAAATAATGTCGATAAGTGTAGTAGTTTCAAGTTTTATTCTAACACATGTAGATATAAATAGGTATACATTTTAAGTAGCCTTAGTTACTTTACTGTACAATGTTAAACATAATATAAAACCGAAATACCCTTCTTTTCTTTTTGTGCATTTAACAAGGCCGTTTTACAGCATAGTGTTGATCTAGTCAGTATGTTTTTTGTTTTAGTAAATAGAGGACAATCGAGCGGGCGGTCACCTGATAGAAATTGACGACCGCCGCACTTAGAGGTCTGCAACCTAGGACTCACAAGTGTGTTGTCAGCCTTTGAGATGTGAGTACGCTCTTTTCTCGGAGTTGTGGACGTCGTAGTGATAAAAAAAAACCGCTTGCGACAATTTGACAATATTAGAGTTTAGCGGTATCTTAGTAGACTTAAAGCCGACCCCAACCTATTTTGAGAACAAGGCTTGGAGGAAGAAGGTTGGCTGTGCGAGGCAAAAAAAAAACTTTTATGGGGGCCCTCCAATACCGTTGTGCCCACTTACTGGCCTTATCAGTTTTATAATTCTATTTTTGTAACTATCTTCTATTAATGTTTCCCGTTAATAAACTACAAATTTGGTAACTTTTTTTAACCTGATTACGACGAACTTGAAAAGCAAGTTCTGTGAATGAAAAGTATGTACATGACATCACATCACATCATCTCATGAACAGCCTTTACTAGTCCACTGCTGGACATAGGCCTCTCATTAGAAAGGAGGTTTTGGCCTACTACACCACGCTGCCCAGACGGGTTGGTATAAGATTAGTTTCAAGTTTTCCTTCTCTCTGCAGTGCTGTTGTCCTGCGTATTTTGCCTCCTCAGTCACTTTTTACTTTTACCCACGGGATGAAGAGGGGTGGTGACACTCGGTATTCTTAATCCGTCACCACACCAAGTTATAAGTTGTCAAAATGAGGGTGTTTAGTACGTGTCTGCTTACCCTTTCAGGGATTTGGGTGATGTTATTGTATATGTATAGAGAATAAAAGAAAACATTAAGTGTGAGAAACATATGTTGATGGTGTACGGGTTGGTACAAAAACCACACGTGATTTCAATAGGGCTATTAATGTGATGTGATGTGGTATAGAACTATCCGCCACGAGGATATTTCTATACAAAGTACACAACCTTCATGGCCAATAGAATATCGATTGTGATCGAAAAACAAAACGTTTATTTCAAGAACTTTGTTTCTATCAAAAATTTACTAAGAAACACTTCACCTTGAACAATAACGAAAATCTTTCAAACTATCTCATACAAACCTGTACATGTTGGTTCAAGCTGTTAGGATCCCTATCCTCTAGAGCCTCGTGAACATTCTCCGGTTTTGCCGTCATAGCTGTCCGGTGGGGCTCGGTTTGTATAGGAGCGGTAACCGGTGTGTAGGCCACGTGCACCGGTGTCGGGACCAACACCGGTGGGGCCGACACCGGTTCTGGAATATCCGGCAACAGCTTGGCTCGATGTATACACGCAAAACACTGTCGAGCTCTCCGTGGAAGTTGTGAAGCGGCTGCACCGCCGGATCCGATAAGTGCGTCTTCAAATGCCACTGTAGGGTCTACAGGGTCCGTAAGAATTAAGCGCAGACAACGCCTCGGGGGTAAAAATGGATTGTTATTGTTTGTTTTGATTTTATTACGTTTGAAGTATTTCTCAATTTTGGAAAATTTTGTAGACTTATTATCAAACGAACAGATTAAAGATATGTGTTTACAGAGTTAAAAACTGATCTAAAAACACAATACATAGTCGATGTAACAATATCAATATTTGAAAACTGAATATACAAACCGGTACTTAAGTAATTAACTTGTTAAACATACTAATTTACGAGTATATATTACGTTAAATATTGTCAATATTTCTAAATTTCGTTTTGTAAATCAAAACTTCTACGACATTTACTGCGATATTATTTAAGATACTTAGTCATAAATGTCAACGTTTTAACACTTTGTATAATTAAATTTTCCAACCGTACATTAAGCTCAAAGAACGCGGTAAAACTGAAAACTTTTTTACTTCTGAAAGGTTTATTTGTGACATGCTTTGCGCATGTCTTCATAGCTCATCGAAAACATCGCAATGCATCCATTGAGGCGCTTATTAAAATTTTCATTACACGTATTTGTACAAAACAGGTAATGTATACGAAAAAGGAAAAAGTACTAGTTATATTTTTTCTTTTGTGTTTTCTAAGGGCCTTTGACCGTTAATGCGCTAGTTGAGTACGTGACCACATGTTATGTATTGGTAATGCTCATAATCTACGCAAGAGGTGTAATCACGTCGAATCAGGTAATACTTACTAGAGTTAAAGTTGAAATAGTCAAGACTATGCTTAATTTATTTGAAGAGAAAAACAGTAGCTCATTGTGCAATACCATGGACGTATATTTTTATACGTTCACGTCCAATACTTCCAATGCGAATATGGCATTCAGGGAAGTGACTTCGGAGAGTCCTTACTTCGGTACACATTACTCTACATTTTGAAGTGATAACTTCTTATGGGTGGGCAAACCGCTTCGTTACGTAACGCGTTACCGCCCCAGTCTGTCTGGCATCCCTTTCTCTCACGCATACGGCAGCAGTAGTCAGGCTCCTCCTCTCTCACTCTAACCCACAGCGCTTGCTGAATTTCGGACAGACGCTTTACATAAAACTTAAGTAATAACCTAAGCATTTCTCAAGTTAAACAATTTTAATATTGAATAGTTCAATTTAGATTAATTTAAGTTATCACTTCTGTCGGGCGTCCAGAGACGCACACTTTTTTTTTTTAATTTTTAAAACCTTTCTAAGGAGAGGCCTATCTCTAGAGTCCAGAAAAGGACGTTTATGATGATAATGATTTTATTATTTAAACGACAACATTTTGCGATTATACTCAGACATTGAACTAATCGTGGCCACAAATTGTGTCCAGGATGGGAATCAAACCCACGACCTCTGGCTTCACAGCCAGGATCAGTAACCATTACACCAAGAAGCCCTTCATCTAATATATATTAGGTATTACCTATTCCGTCCTTGTAGGGACGGGTTAAGAATACGGATTGTCACCACCCCTATTTTTCCCGTGGGTATAGTAAGAGGCGACTAAGTAAGCAAACTGCAGAGTACAACAGCAATACAAAGAGAACGAAAACTTGACACAAACCCTATACCAAACCGTCTTTCCAGAGTGGTATAGTAGGAAACCTCCTTTCTAAGGAGATGCCTATGTGCAGCAATAGAATCCTAGCGCTAAAATGAACATAAGTACTGTTTTTAGAAGTTAATTTCTTTTAAAGATAATGTTTTAAAAGTGTATTGAATAAAAGAAACAACATATCGGTATATAGATATTTATTTCTTAATATGTAGATATTCTTATTTTATATTATATACACGCACCGAAAATTAGCTACTGGTATGTACATCTAAGTTATTTGTTATACAGGTATATAAATGTATATAACTAATAATAACACTTGCTTGTATATTTAAATATTTATTTTATAAATTACCCGATGTTTGGAAGTCCACGCGAAAATACGTCTTATCCATCATAGCTTTAAAGTACAATATTCTAGACAAGTATACAACCTTATTTATGTGAAATGACATCAGATGACCGTACAATTAAATAATGATACTTCACAGTTAGCATGAATTTGGACTTTATAAGAGAGGACTCAACAAACATTTTCATTTTTTATTCTCTCATAGTCTTCTTGACGTTAAAATTCGTTGGAACAATAAAAACAACAGTTCGAAGTTCAAAAAATAATAATGTTCGGCTGGTCTTAAAGTGGAGACAGCTAATCAGAAAATGGAAGGCGGGACGCCTCCCAGTCAATTGGTCTGACGACTTGAAGAAGGTAGTTGGGATCGATCGAATTCGGAGGCCAGGGGACCGGGTGCTTTTTTATTATTGTGGTCGGTGTTAATTTTTATTTTGCAACAAAATATTTCAACTTATACTGTCTATGGTATATACTTTTGAACTTGGAATACAATACAATGTAATTACTACATTATATTATGTACAATTAATAAATTATTGTGTAAAACATCTAGAGTAACTACGTTTTGTGGAAGTAACATAATCATGTCTAAATAATGTCATATCTACCTAAATGTGTTATATATTTTATTTTATAGACATGTGGTAAGTGTATTGTGTATAAATATTTTTTATTTATAGTTTATTACGTGAACCACATGCAATTAATTAAACGAATTAAATTAGATTCATTGATGAATTAACTATACCTGAGAGATTACACGACGTAGATTAAAATTGTAAATCAAAAAATTTCACAATTTAAAATAGAAATTTTAACAAAATGTGTAATGCTTAGGTAAAATTTTTTTATGTTAACATAAAAGTATATTTTTCTTTACAAGACCCCTTAAAAATATGTTTTTTTAAGTTCGTCTTTACTGCAGGTTTAAACTAAATACCATTGCATTTTTGTCGCACCCGTAAATGATTCAAACATTCAGATACTGAGTCAGATATTTAAATTTGTATTTATACAGGGTTTACACAGGGTTTTGTGTATTTCTAGGATACCCGACCCGACGATAGAAGACCCCTCTCCACAAACACACACTTGAATGGTGCTACTTACGGGCTGCAGCTGAAAATCAACTTTGGAAGGGACCTGTGGCCATCCAACAGCCTGCAGAACTGCAGTCGTACTTTCTACCCAAAATCAAGAGGTGAAGGGACCTTCCGCATCAGTTTCAGGCCCTGCCGTCAGGTCACACACGTGAGTAAGACCGTGTATATCCTTTATAAAAAGAAAGTAATATATTATGCGGGTATAGCGACAATCGATCAGAAGTCAGTGAGCCACCACAATGATTGGCTAACCCGGTCACGACACACCCAAGTAGTTTGTACACCACTCATAGACCATATTCTGTTGGAATATGATTGATCGTTTCAGAAGTCAACGTATATCTATGGGCATTATTATTTTGGAACTATGAAGATGTCACGCTTGACTGTTATGATGGAAATTCGTTACTGTAATAAAGAAGACAGTGCTCATTTATGGTGGTGGTGGACCTCCCTAGTAGGCAAGGTGATCATGCCTGACGGACTGAGGCCCCACTGTTGATGTTGGGAAATTCGATATATACTAATCGACGCGACAATTGTAATTACGCGATGCAGGCGAGGATCAGTAGTAATTCGATAGTTCGGAGTATCTTCGTTAGATGGTCGGCAGTTGCCACATTCGTTTTTTAATAAGTATAAAAAGAAACTTTGAAATTACAAGTAATTATTTATTTATTTGTTAATTTAATAAAAAAAAGCTCATACAGTAAACAATTCATTTTATTATACGTATCTATATGATTTCATATAATTAAGTACCCGAGTGTTAAATTCAATGCCAAATGTCAGAAAATATCACTGACATTGTAGTGTCACTAAAGTGTCAATGTCATTTTCTTGATTCAACTTAAAAGTAGCACCGCTAGAATAATTTTATATCTATATTAAAGCTTCAGTTTAGCTTACAGTGGAAGACAATAGCTAACGCAATGTAACAACTATTTATACAAAAAGTTTTTACACTGACAACATTTTTATAATTGACAGATGTTTTTTTTTAAATGTCTAACAATTTGTAACTGGCATTTGTAATTAGAATTGCCTTGCGAAAACATCTTATAAAACTTAAATAAAATAAAATCATAAAATACAAAGTTTCTAATTTCAAATATTAAATTCATTATACATTGCTTTTAAAGCACTTATTCAATTTAATAATAATATAGTTCAGTCGTTAATTAGTAGACTGAATATTTAAAATAGAAATATCTCAAGAAACAGTAGACAATTTTTTAGACACAATGGCGGTAAATTTTCACACTAATTGATTAAAGAAAATTCGAAAGCGATTTCATGTGAAGCCTTACCCCTTTCTTACCTATCTGACCTTATTCATAGATTAGAACAGAAAAAATGTTCAGGTAAATAAAATAGAACCATAAATACACAGTGCCGACCCAAATAACCCCAGACCGGTGGCGTTTGCGTGACGTGCTTAACAGATCGTTAGCCGCACTCCTATTCCGGTCCCCGGCACTTTTCACACAATATAATCCATTTTCTGACCGCACCTTAACCCAACATAACTAATTTCATAATTGATTTAATTTCTATACGGTATCTGAAATTTTGTATAAACGCGATGCACTATACCAAAGCGGTTGCTTGTATTGGCAGTGTTGCCATATAAATTATAAAATTTATATTGCATATACATATTTGCAATATAAAAAACAAATCATATATTTATCAGGTAACAAACTCCTAGTAGATACAAAATATAAAATAAATAGAAGTTTACTTATATAAAAACATTTTAAAAAGGTAAATTTAACAAAACTATGATTAAGTGTTAAAGTATATGATGAATGCGGACGCATCCCATTTCATGTGGAAGTGTTAAACACGTACGACAGTGTGTGTCGGCGTACATCAGCGTGTGACGACGTATGCCGGCGTGTGTTAGTGTGTGAGCAGTGCGGCGCGTCGAGCGAGATGCGCGGAAGGTGCAGGCCCCGCTCGGAGATTCGGCACGATGGCGCGCTCCGCTTCCTCTGCTGGTGGCTCACTATACACGCCCAGCCAATAGGTTACAATTTGTTTTTAAAAAAAACACAATATAAATGTTTATCATAACAAGGGTTGAACGGGTTTTAAAAGTCTATGAAAAGCGTTAAAGAGTTACTCGTTAACCCTCCCATGCTGTATCTAAATATTTTTAATGATCAAAGTAAGCCAGAGCATGATCTAATTGTTAGCGTATTAATGCGGTTTCTACGCGTAAAATTTAACTACATTCATCCTAAATGGGATGGATATTTCTAAATGTAAGGATGGAAGCAAGCACTCACCTTGGCTGCGCGGGCGCAGAGCTGTTAGTGTTATTAGCGATACACCGACATATCACCACCTTAGGAAACACCAATGAACTCATTAAATAAGAACTAATTTAGCGACTAGAAATGTTGATGTCGAATATTTTAACATTAAATAAACTCTACTATCAACCCTCTGAATGGTCATCACTGATAGATCTATTTCTAAGCCTTCCATGAATGCACCGTGTGGGTGCTGGGTCTATCAGGAAAAGGTTATAGAGGAATTTACGTGGTATACCCCTAGCACCCATTTCAAAGGCATAGAACGCAACGAAATAGCTATTTCTAGTTTTTTTTTATGGTATAAGGGGGCAAGAGAGCAGACGGGTCACCTGATGGGAAGCAACTATCACCGTCCGTGGACACTCAAAAGTCACAAGTGCGTTGCCGTCCTCGGAGACCCTCCCGCTCGAGTTAGCGGGAGGGGATTTGGGCTCCGGTAACCTCACTCACTCAGTGAAAGGCAACGAAAGAATTGCTTAACACCGGTTTTCTGTTAGGCCGTGGTATCACTCCGGTCGAGCCGTCCCATTTGTGCCGCAGCATGACTCTCCCACGTAGTTGGTTGGTCCCACGTTGGTCAAGTCAACGTACTTATTATTTTTTAAAGCGTGTTTTATTAATTATTTTTGTATAGAGAAATAAGTCTGGTCTTGACACCGAAGCACAAACAATTTTTTTTTTCTAATTCTCCTGCAATTAATGGGAGTGATTTCGTGAAAGAAGTGTGAAACAGAAAAATAGCGTTATAAAGGCGATGTGCAAGAGTTGGCAGTCACGTAGTAGGTGAAATGTCACACATTATATGCACCTTTTTTTTTCTTTTTTTTTTCGTGCGGAAATCCCTTCGGATACCACCTATCGGTGGCATGTCGGACTCGAACCGACTAAAACCGCACGCTGTCTCGGGTACTAATAGCTGGGGAACCAGGTATACCCTAGAAAGGAAGTCCCTGGTGCCCCGACATACCTCGGGCCATCTACAACAACAGGTCGACCCCTCCCGTGTGGGAACATTATATGCACCTACTGTGAAGCTCGCTCGTTTCCTTCTCTCTAATATATCAATCACGAGAAATAACACATTAGGCGTTCTAATAATCTAATAGAACGCCTAACACTGCAGGTCCGCAGAATTGGGCAGGCAAATACATTTTCAAATCTAAGTGGAAATTCAAGAGATGGACAAAAAAGCTCAAGAATTTACGAAATTAATGAAATGATTGTTTAGGTATATTTTTAAAGGATTATACAAAAAGGAGGAGGTTCTATTGGTTACCTCTGAACTCCCACTCCCCCCATATATGGTGACAGACTTGGTCAATTCTTTTCGAGAAGTAATATAATATAATAATTATATTGTACCACATTCACACAACGCCATCTAGTCTCAAACTAAGCAGAGCTTGTACTATGGGCACTAGACAACTGATATAAATACATATATAGTTTTTTTTGTAAAAAGATACATATTATACATAGAAATACCGAGACTAAATCAAACATTTAATGTCCATGCACACAAATGTTTGACTTAAGCGGGAATCGAACCCACGTCCTTTGGAATAGCAGTCCGTTACACAAACGACTACGCCATCCGGTCGTCTAGTATACCCATTGAACTATGAAAGAGTTTTCCTTTCCGTTTAGTCCTATTCAAATTTGAAGAATAAATTTTCACCTACTTCTAAGGGCAAAAATTAACAAATGAAGAATACAGTTTATTATAATTAATTGTGTGGGCGCAATGAAGTCGGCGATATTTTTTTAATGTTAAATATTTAAAAATAAAGCAGGATGGACCATAAATTACTAAAAGTATTAGTAGGTAGCTTTTGTCCGTGGCTGTCGTTTCGTATGTCGATTGTTGCGTTAAAAAGTTGCATTCTAAAAGAATCAAAGTCTCTCCATGCCCAATTTTATTTAAATCGGTTTAGCGGTTTGAAAGCGTTACAGACATATTAATAAGCATTAATGTGTTGATCATATTCGACATCAATGTTTTAATCTAAAATAGGCATAGCGTATCTGTGAACTCGCAAATCGCAATGTCACAAGATTAACGAGCGACCAGCTGGTTTTAAATTAATGGCATCTATTTTTTTTGTTAATTTTGTCATGCTTACACATTGTACATGCATAAAATATTAAAGAAGATAATTTTTAAATTAGATGCTTAACATGTTATGTTAATTGTTTTCAGTATTTTTCAATATTGTATTGACATTCCACCAGGGGAAATAATGGGAAACAACTGTCAAGATTCAGTAATTTTTTTGTTAAACGTTTAACGTATGAAATACTAAGGCGTTACGGCATTCCTAGCTTTTTTGTTAAATTCTTGTTGATTTAATAATAATACATAATAACATTAAAACGATAATCGAAGACTATTTATGCTATTCTTTGAGATGTTACATTTAATGATTCAGGCGAAATAATTGGTTTAAAAAATAATAAATCAACCCTATTAATACACCAATTTTATGGCTAGTTTTTATATAGGTGTCAAGCTTAGATGTAGATATGTCTAGATGGAAAACAGACTGGCCAACTTTATTATACTGGTGTGTGTAGGTACTAAGATCCATGTTTGTGTGTGTGTATATCTATAATCGACCGATTATAACACAGCAAATAGCCAAAATGAACTTAGTAGCCAAAAGTTGGACACAATTTTTTCGACACTCACAACTTTGACAGTCTGTCTGACGAAGTCGACGACGTCTAGTCAAATGACAATGGCAATTTCAGCCATTTAACTTTCATTTAGGCATTATAATAAAGAAATCAAAACTATTGGTACTGTAAGTCGTACCAACCCCAAATTTCTAATGTCAAGTCTTCGACAAAATTATTCCTTCCAGTGTTGGTCTCTACAGGTATTAAAAGCGATTCTCTGAAACATACTCTACGTCCTTATAGACTTAAAGTTGTAGTATTGTTGAGGGCAGCACTGGCGTACCTGATCTTAATCGGTTGCCGCAGCGACAGGTCGGAGCCGGAGGAGCTAGGCGCGCGCGCAGCGGCGAGTAGTCGCGGCGCGCGCGGCGTGCGGGGCGACGCGGACGAGCGCCCGCGCGCGAACTCCAGCCGGTAGTTGTCCGAGCGCGGGCTGCCGCTGAACGCCGACACCTCACCCCCACCTGCGTACAAACACATCCTGAAGACCGGGTGTCATATTTGCTGGCCAAACATGGTTTGAAACCAAAAGATATAAATATGACCATACAAAAACAATTTAAATTTGAGGTGAGGTCAAAGTACAGTAAAAACTTTTATCAGCGACATCTATCGGAAATGTACCAAACTACCAACTGTTAATCCTATATCGTGCAATGAGAGTTTTCTGATCTACTAGTTTATATGCAATTTCGTAATATCAATATTTCAGCTATTTCAACCCGCAGAGAAGTAAATCCATAAGTACACAAAACATTTATCAGAAGTGACTTTCTCTTTGTTTAATAGTTAACAGTAATAGTTCTGAACCTTGAAACTTTTATTTACCGATCATTCATGAAAACCCTTTTTAGATACAAGGAATCAAGTGATTTCCAAAATTTAATGAAGATTATTTAAAATAATACATATACAGTTAAGAGCCAGTCCAGTTGACTGACTCTTAACTCGGGGATCACCAATATCAAAATATATTGGTGATCCCCGTGATACATGTATCAATAAACCAATTATTGCATACGCTCGCACCCTCATACACACATACATCACAAACACTCACACACAAATACGTACACATGGATAAACACATTGAGAGACATGTAACGTTATAAAAAGACCTCATCAACAACATTCATGTTTTTAAAATGTGTTGCTAAAATAAATATTTATTATTATTATTTATTTATTATTAAGACGTTAAAAGTTATTATAAACCCATTGCATATCTATGAATATGTCTATATACATACAATTTAATTGCCTACACGATATTTTATTACGTACAATCAAATAAATGTAATGGTTTGTAAGCTAGTCAGGTCAGGGTGAGTTCAAACGGAAGTTCCATTAACGCTCCCATAGACTAACAGCCAACTGTATCTATACTAATAAACATACACTCGAAGGGCATAGACAGAGACGTATAAAACGTCTACTATTTGTCTTATTTAACTTAACACCGACTCTTAAACACCTGCAACTAAAGAGCTAAGTAAGTTACCGCCCTTTAAAGCAAGAGTACTCTTTTCTCGACGGTTTGAGGGTCGTATCGGTTGAAAAATACCACAAGCGACATTGTAATGTTTAAAACAAACGGTTAAAGAATGTATTGTTTTGACTTTTGACGCAGGACAGTAGCAATACAATAGTATTAAGAATTATCTTATATGTATATAAAATTCTCGTGTCACAATGTTCGTTCCCGTACTCCTCCGAAACGGCTTGACCGATTCTCATGAAATTTTGTGTGCACATCGGGTAGGTCTGAGAATCGGCCAACATCTATTTTTCATACCCCTAAATGGTAAGGGTGACCCATCCCTAATTTTTTTTTATTTGCAATACAACGTTTGCCGGGTCAGCTAGTATTATATATATTTTCCTTTTAGAATACAAAGTTGGCAAATATACAAAGCTGTTACTTACGACAGTTGCCACAATCTCCTGTATTATATTCCTTAACTAGATGCAAAGAAGCATAGCGTTAAAAATATCACACCCTGATAATTATAATTTTAACATTTTCAAACTGTAAATCTTAGAAAGATCCAAACGTATTTTAATTATACTCTGTCTATTTATTTTCTTTCAGATAATTCTATAAATATTCAATTTATGAAGATTTAACATTTAGGCCACTTGATTTACATTTTAAACCAGTTATATTTTTATATTATTTTTTTAATTTATAATTAATTTTATATTGTCCGTGTGACGGATTAAGAATACGCAATGTCACCACCCCTATCCATCCCGTTATACTAAGGGAACAAACTACGCAGAACAACAGCACTGCAAAGAGAAGGAAAACTTGTAACAGACCCTATACCAACCCGTCTGGCCAGCGTGGTATAGTAGGCCAAACCCTCCTTTCTAAGGAGAGGCCTATGTCCAGCAGTGGACTGTTATAGGCTGTTGATCATATATTTAAAAGACAATTTTAACCGCACTTTTAAAAGCTACTATGCATATCTTTCGAGATTTTTAGTTATAAATTTTATTTGCTCTCAAGTGTATTATTAAGGAATGAACACAATTTTGAGAAGATAATTTAAAAATAGAGCCATTGTTTTTGTTGACCAAACAAGTATAGTAACTACAGTACCACTATGGCATAAATATGAGGTCAATTGCCGTCGTGTCCCTGTGGCCCTCGTATATGGTGACCATGTCCCAGATCTGAATGCATTGGGGACGAGTTGCGCTATGCATTTAATTAAAACTTATATATTTAATACGTAACTGACAGTCAGAAGTTGACGTTCTGTGCTTCGGTAAAAGAAATATGCAAGAAGTTGTTTCGTCTTGCAATCTTAAGTTAATTCCTTAAAATGCTCTTGACAAAAAATAAAGAGCAAAACCTTTTGACAGCCTAAAATGGGTCAAAAAACAAATCTGATAGAAGAGTCTGGTTTCGCCTAAGTACCTTTTTTTTACGTGTGGAAACCCCCTCGGGCCGTCACCCCACCGGGGTTTACGGCGGGGTGGTGTGTCGGAATCGGACCGACTAAAACCACACGGTGTGCCACTCTGCGCCTGTAATAGGAGGGATCCGGGAACAGCTGTTAAGACATCCGGACCCTTTGCCTAAGTACCTACCTTAAGGTCAGTCAGTGGATAAGGTGGGTTTGTATTTGTTAACAGCTCTATACGTAGCTCTGTACGGTTTATCATGGTTTATTCAAATGAGCTGTTTTTTTTTTATTAGAGAAAAAAATACTTTTATATATCGTACAACTAATTCATTTTATCATGTTTAAGATGGTTTACAAATAGCATAGATATCGAAAACGTCAGTCGAACTTGTAAACTTCATCTTTTTTGAAGTCGGTTAAAATACATATATGTCTTTTAAATATACGTAAACCAGTTTCTGTAAAATATATGTATATATATAGATATATATATATACAAATTGACGGGCCTGTTGGTCTAGTGGTTAGTGACCCTGACTGCTAAGCCGGAGGTAGTGGGTTCGATCCCACCCAGAACAAATAATTGTGTGGTGAGCACGATCATTTGTTCTGTGTCTGGGTGTAATTTATCTATATTAGTGTGTATTTGTAGTCTGGTCACCATAGTACAGGCTCTGCCTAGTTTGGGATCAGACAGCCGTGTGTGAGATTATTATTATTATTAATAATAATAATATTCTACCACATTCACACAACGCCATCTAGTCCCAAACTAAGCAGAGCTTGTACTATGGGTACTAGAAAACTGATATAAATACATATTATACATAGAAACACCCAGACCAAACCAAACATTAAATGTTCATGCACACAAATGTCAGACTTGAGCGGGAATCGAACCCGCGACCTTTGGAATAGCAGTCTTTTATACAAACCACTACGCCTTTCGGTCGTCAATTATTATTATTATTAAATAAAAAGCTCATAAAGCATGAAGTGTAACTATTACCATTGTACATGTTGTGCGAGGCAATGGGCATCCTGGCGCAGGCGGGCGGGTGATCGTGCGCGTGCGCCGGCGCCCAGTCGCGATACACGCGCGCGCCGTGTGACGTGTGCCACTCCGACAATTCCACGCTGCGGATCTGTACAAAACAACAAGCTCTCGTAACCAAGCATGTATTTACATAATTAGCTAACAGGCAGGCTTGGTGGGAGCGAGGCAGAAGATAGGATATAGAGTTGATTTATTACAGAAGTAAAACATTTATTATGAGATCGTAGGCTATAACATGTTGCCCACGAAATGCTAGGCTTTAAAAACGTGTATCCTCTCGAAATTGAATCGAGTCGAGTGATAGAGTATAAATAAATGTTTTTTACTCACCGGTGTGGTACTCTTGCTTCTTCCACTAATCTCTGAGGAAGCATTGCTGTGTCGTTGTCTGTTTTCTCTCACACGCTCAGGAGCTGGAGACTCTCGACAAGATCCATCAGGATCATCGCGGGCCTGTACATAAATTATTGTCGAATTTTAGAATCTATGTTAATACTACAGAATTTATATTTGAAAAGTCCTTTTGCGATGGATAGCGCCAAGTCCGAAGAGCTTTGACAATTATACAACATCAGAAATACAATACTTCACTTGTAGTGGTATGTACTAGTTTAGTAGTCTTCTAGAAGGTACTTTTTGACTGGTGGTCTAATTATGTTCCTGACAGCTGAGAAAAGCGATTTCTAAATATTAGTCGGAAATAATAATAAATCGAATCCAACTCAACCAAAATAATTGTATGATGAGGACAATAAATTGTTGTACATCTGGGTGTTTTTTATCTATAATATGTATGTATTAAGAGTAAGCATGGTTACCAGTACAAACTCTGCTCTGTTCTCCGAGTTTGGAATTAGACGGCCGTGTTTGAGATGTGTGAAGTTATTATTTTTGTACTACGATAAAAAAATACTATGGCTTCTTTGTTATGTTAATAGTCGACTAACGTATGAAATAGTTAACAAATTTTGTACATAGGTAATTTATTATTTATTTGCTCTATGGAAGATTTACAGCTATATCAACATATTAACGGTAGAATAGTATTAGAAAGCCAGGTCTTTATTTTTATAAATTTTACTAACAATTTACTAATTAAGTATGACTGGTTCATGTTAATCGTACAGTACAATCAGCTACGTAAATAGATCATCATCAACAGCCTTTAATAGTCCACTGCTGGACAAAAGCCTCTCCTTAGAAAGGAGGTTTTGGCCTACTATACCACGCTGGCCAGACGGGTTGGTATAGGGTTTGTGTCAAGTTTTCCTTCTCTCTGCAGTGCTGTTGTCCTGCGTAGTTTTTTCCCTTAGTCGGCTTTTACGACACCCACGGGATGAATAGGGGTGGTGACACTCTGTATTCTTAATCCGTCACCACACGGACGTAAATAGATACTACGCATAATATTTTATATTTGAAGAAGTAACATATTTGTAAAGATAATTGGGTATTTCCAGAACAGTATACATAAGTATATGTAATTACATATACACACATACGCACACCGCACATGACAACCGAATTCAATTAGAGAAGAAATTCAGACTCAAGCATCTCCTTGCTGCAGGTATTCTAATTTCAAATGGATCAAGGTCATGTTGCTTGCATAACTTGTTGAAGGTTCTACTCGCTCGTACAGTATTAGTATTTTGTCTATAATTAGTAGATGTTTGGCAGTTTTTCATCACAACATCAACAGCCTTTACTAGTCCACTGCTTTACATAGGTCTCTCCTTAGAAAGGAGGTTTTGGCCTACTATACCACGCTGGCCAGACGGGTTGGTATAGGGTTTGTGTCAAGTTTTCCTTATCACTGCAGTGTTATTGACCTGCGTAGTTTGCTCCCTTAGTCGTTGCGACACCCACGGGATGAATAGGGATGGTGACACTGTATTCTTAATTCGTCCGTCTTATTTGTTTGATTAGCTACACCGCAAGAGGTGCAACACGCACTTAGCCGGTTTTCCATTTAATATATTTTTCTAACTGCAGTTGAGATCTCTTTTTGCGATTATTGGTCCAACATGTAAGAGCTTTACTTATCTGACTCGATGTTGTAATGAAGGTGACCGGCATGGAGAATTCATAATAATGTTCATCACATGAATATATTGTAATTTATATTGTTTCTTGTGTGCTCAAAGGTGGCTTCAATGTCACCTTGACGCAGTTCAAGGTATCTAATCAATGGGGAAAAAAATGTGGCATTCATTTTATATTTTTGTCTAACCTGAGCATAAAGTTCACCTTTGGTGTCAAAAATATTTTTTATTTTTTAAATCATAAACAAACGAGTCTTGCTGTTCGAGAATAAATTTTGTTTTCTTTATAAGTAGATTATAAAATACTTAATAAGTGCGCTAAAATCGATTCGAAATTCAAAGTGTAGATGTATTAAAGTAATGAAATTCATTGTAATGATAATGTAATGTGTATTGTGTTGTTGTCCTGTATACATGGTTGTTCTTTAAAAAATATTACAATAGAACGTTTTATGAATGGTATACACTTACAGTATGACTAATGCGAAAGTACCTTGAACTTCAAGTTTTCCAGACGTTATGAGCCCTTTCAGCGTTCATGGTCACGGTCAAATTGCGTATTAATAATAATTTCTATAACTGGAAACTTTACAAAAAAACCGGTCAGATACGAGTCGAACTCGTGCGCCGAGGGTTCCTTACCTACCCAGATTTTATAGTAGATTATCCCGAAAATTTGTAAGTACCAAAATTTATCTTAATTTGCAACTTTTTTATTTTTTGGAATTATTCCTTTATTTGTGCTGTAAGACGTTACTTTTTGACATACGGACAGACGGACAAGAAAGTGATTTTATAAGTCCTTTTTACCTTTTGAGGTATGGAACCCTCAAAAGACAACGCCGACATTAGGATATATCCTGTGTCGCGGGGGACTTTACAAACACACATGAAACCTACACAAAGAACACCCAGACTGAGAAAAAAAAATGGGGATTACACAAAGTATCGTCTCATATGGGGATCGAACCTACAACACTCAACGTAGTAGTAAGCGGCGTGGCGACCGCTTAAACCATTACGCCGCGCCATCCGTGCAGAAACTAGAAACAAAACTTTATTTCAAAGATTGCGTATTTTTTGTCGAAGATTTGTACCGTATAATTTAGTTAAGTAGGGCCTAAAAGCTAAGTAAGTGATGGTTTTTATACAATTTGAATGGTGCTTTAAGGGTTTGAGGGTACCCTATGAGGGTTATTCTCTTCCCTGAACAGGTCAAGTGATTTCGCTCACCAGGAAAAATGTACTATGCACGATGTAAGCTACCAATTTTCTTTCTTCGATGTATGTATCTGTTTGTGGCAGCATAGCTCTTCAATGATTTTTCTTGTTTGGACTGTGACTTTATCGAGAATATTTTAGATTGAGATTTAACTATCCAAGGACAATAGCATAGCAAAGAGAAGAAAAACCTGACATAAACCCTATACCCGTTTGGCGAGCGTGGTATAGTAGTCCAAAACCTTCTTTCTCAGGAGAATCCTATGTTCAGCAGTGGACTATTAAATTCATCATGCATTCATTCATCATCAGCCTATCGCAGTCCACTGCTGGACATAGGCCTCTCCCATTGCACTTAGATCGATTTTGGGCTTCTCGCCTAAAATTTAATATAAAGAATATATTAATTTTTTTGTGCTCAAAGAACATTAGGTCTTGTCTAAATTGACACAGGAATTAACCTAGATTGATAGCTATGAAACTTGCACACACGAGGCAGGCAAGTTACTAATAAGATATGGTTGGTTCGAAGTCTCTTACCTTATGGTGGGTGGAGGCGGCGGGCATGCTTGTGGCTCCACTGCTCACAAGTCTGAGCTGCTGTCTGATACTCGCCTTCTCTCTGGCTCTCTTCCGCTGGAACTCTTCTTCAACCCTGATAAAAGATACGGCCTTTTAATACTTTGAAATCATTTTGCAAATTGCGATATGTGTTAGCATTAGCCTATGCTTGAACAGGTTTGCGATTACGACATTGAGCCAAAATCGCATCATTTTTAGTACGAAACATGTTTAATGTGTTATCATTATCTTTTTTATGTTGTAAAAGTTTACGACCTACAAGGTTAATTTGCGTTTTCCCAGCTAAGGTTAAAAGCCATAGAACATTACATTGAACGTGAGGGATTGAACATAAAACCAATAAATTGCCAACTTTTTTTTTTTAAATATTTAAATAGGCTTAATGGCAATCGTTTTCCTTAGGTGTATAGATGTTGCACCAAGGATTTCCTTTCTAGGGTACATCTGGTTCCCCGACTACTGGTACCTCTTTTTTTTCTTTCTGTGCGGAAATCCCCTCAGAAACCGGTGGCATGTCGGACTCGAACCGACTAAAACCGCACGCCGTCTCGGGTACTAATAGCCGGGGAACCAGGTATACCCTAGAAAGGAAGTCCCTGGTGCCCCGATATACATCGGTCCATCTACAACAAGTAGACGACCCCCCCGTGTGGCCCGATTACTGGTACCTGAGACGGCGTGCCGTTTTAGACGGTTCGAGTCAGACATTGCCACTGGTAAGTGATATCCGAGGGGATTTCCGCACAGAAAGAAAAAAGAAAAAAAAAATGTATAGATGTGTGATGTAAGTAATATAACAAACGAAATCGTACAACCCAGACTGAGAACAACAATTTGTGGAGCACACAAAGTGTTGTCCCATGTGTGGATAGAACCCACAACACTTAGCGCAGTACGAAGCGGCGAGGTGACCGCTAAAACAACTACGCCATCCGTGCAGTTATTTATTATTTGCATCAACAGCCTTTAATTGTCCCCTACTGGACATAGGCCTCTCCTTAGCAAGGAAGTTTTGGTCTACTACATCACGCTGGCCTGACGGGTTCATTCACGAAATCACTCTCGAAAATTACCGGCAAGTTAGAGGAAAAATGTTATATCATCAAAATCATCATCAACAGCCTTTAATAGTCCACTGCTGGACATAAGCTTCTCCTGAGAAAGGAGGTTTTGGCCTACTATACCACGCTGGCCAGACGGGTTGGTATAGGGTTTGTGTCAAGATATCCTTCTCTCTGCAGTGCTGTTGTCCTGCTTAGTTTTTTCTCTTAGTCGGCTTTTACGACACCCACGGGATGAATAGGGGTGGTGACACTCTGTATTCTTAATCCGTTACCACACGGATCATCGTCAAAATCATCATCATCAATATAACACATTAAAAAAATCTTAACTAAGTATACTCGCCTTCTCATGGCCTCCAGTTCTGTTCTTCTTTGTTGTTCTTTCAAATCAGCTTCTTTGGACAGCTTTTCAGCTATTCTTTTTCTTTCTAACTGGCGCACTGTGGACTGGAACGCGAATCGCTTGTTACGACTACCTCCCGTCAGGTTTGTACTCGAAGAGCGCTGTAAGAGATGATTAGGACTCTTATATCTTCATGATTTTGCATATAACCTTCTTATCAATAAAGGCGTTGGAGTTGCAGTTAGGTGGTAGGGAATGTCTTCAGTTCCACATCCAGTACACTACTGATTGGAACCTTCTAATGCAAAAGTATTAAGCTTAGCTGAAGTGTGTGATTGGCTTGTTGGTTCAGTAGTTAGTGATCTTGACTGCTTAGTCAGAGGTCGTCGGTTCAATCCCTCCCAGGGTAAATATTAATATTTGTGTAATGAGCAAGATTGCTTTTCTTTGTTTAGGTAAAAATTATCTTTACTTTGTATTCATTTGGAAATATATAAGTATGTTTATTAGTAGTGTGTCTACAGGTTCTGCCTAGTTAACACAGAACAAAAAATCGTGCTTATCACACAATTATTTGTCATGGGCGGGAATCGAACCCACGATCACTGTCTTAGCAGTTAGGGTCAGTAACCACTAAACCAATAGGCTAGTCAATATGCCAAACAAATTAATATATTAATAAAATAAAATGAATACGCTTTAGGAAATATAAACGCTACATAAGTTAAAAACCTTCTATTTCAAAAGGCAATATTTCGAGATAAAAATCTTTAATGTGATTTTTCGAAATCAATTGCGGTAAATTTTCCCGCCCCAAAAAAAAAAACAAAATGGTCGTTAACGCCTGGCTGTCTGTTACTAACAATGATGATTACGATTTACGAACGAAAGTAAAAGTGCTAACATTACTTTTATAGCTATTGTACCAACCGTATATTATTCGGAGCGTGTGAATTCCGCTATAGGAACTATTTGGAATAGTTTTGTGTTAATGTGTTTTGTAATTATAGTGTCTAGTACCTACTAAGGAGTAAGCAAAAAAAATGTGTTACCAAGTAATTTTTTATTTTGTTTTTTTTTCATGATGAGCTATTAAGAATATTTTATTCGAGATAAGACAAGTTAGCACTACACTTGCCCGTGGGAGAGTCATGCTACCACGGCCTTACAGAAGACCGGTGTAAAACAATAATAAGCTAGTTGACTCAATTTGAAAACTTGGTTAATTATATACTTTAATATCTATTTTATCCCAAAGAACCTATATTTTTAAGAAAAAGCAATATTGTTTACATTACGTATTTTGTATAAAAAAAACAATTTAAATTTCGTTCGAAAACGCTGAATAGTGTCATGGCGTCTTGAATGACGTCACAGTCTGCGAAATAAAACTGTTTACATCTGTGTCCAGTGTCAACTGTTTTCAAAAAATGAATAAGGTATAAGGAGTAACCTGCTCTGTTGTATGAAAACGTCAACAACAACAACAATGATGTGTTGCGTGGCGTGACGTAACATTTTCTGATTGGTGTTCTCTGTCACGTGACTTAATGCCTATTTTGTACGATTTTTTTAAAATCTTTAACTTTTATGAGAAATAGAAAGATTTTTTCTTATCTATGTCTCTTCATTTATAACTTGAAACTATAAACCAAGCAGTTTGTTATAAGTGGACACAAGCCTATTTGGCATGTAAAGCCTGTATCAGAATCAGACGCAGATCATCAGGTTTCCACCCTGATAAGTGATAAGTGTACTTATAATTAGATGTTACTTTTATAGATCTTATTACATATGACAGAAATGTGATTTTTCAGAGGTGCTAAAAATAAAACATAGTGAGTAAAAAAAAAAAACTAAACCTCCTTTCTAAGGAGAGGCCTATGTCCAGCAGTGGACTATTAAAGGCTATTGATGATGTGATGATGATGAGTAAAAAATTATAAAATAAAAGTAAATCGTACAATTTTATGTGTTGGTGTGTATGTAAGAGTGCGTGTGTCTGTGTGTGTGTTATCGTGTATGATAATTAGGGTGATGAGTTTTTCATGTAAATCATTGAGCTCATTCTATGGTGTTCTATTTGATAGGAAACACAAATCATAGATAGTATGGAGGATACTGATACTATGTGTGATGCGCTAATTCATAGATCGCTATCTGACGCACGCTGCATCCTCTGCGCTTGCGCAATCGACCTTTGTTTTTGTTAATAACAGTGGGAAAATTATGCGAGTCCAATGATTTTTGTGTTCACTTATGAATTACGCACACACAATACACATTTTGCTTCAATTGATGCCGTATCGAACACTGCTTTGAATTGTCTAAATTGTGACTTACGAGTACTTGAGGAAACTTATAAATATAATCATGATTAGATCTTGATTATATTCAATACTAATCGCGCCTTTGATTATATCTTATTTTGTGTTTGCTAACTTTGAAAATGACCAACTTCCATATAACCATTCGTCCCTTATTTTACTCCCCCTAATTATTAATAATAATAATAATATATATCACAAATCTCACACACGGCCGTCTGATCCCAAACTAGGCAGAGCTTGTACTATGGTAACCAGACTGATGATAAACATACTTATATATTTTTAAATACATACATCTTTTAGATAAATTACACCCAGACACAGAACAAATGACCGTTTTCATCACACAATATTTGTCCTGGGTGGGAATCGAACCCATGACCTCCGGTTTAGCAGTCAGGGTCACTAACCTCTAGACCAACAGGCCCGTCAGTATACATAAGTATGTTTATCAGCAGTCTGGTTACCATAGTATAGGCTCTGCCTAGATTGGGATCAGACGGCCGTGCGTGAGATGTGTGAAAATATTATTATTATTAAGGGTGAAATCTCCAAAAATCCTTTCTTAGTGAGTGCTTACAACATAAAAAGTATCAGCTGCCAAAATTTTAAGTTTGTAGCAGTCCGGGAAAGTAATTTTATACGTACCTATAGATGTATTGAAATCACGAAAGAATTATAAGTAGCTACAGTTTTTTTGGAACAAAGTTCCTTATCACGCGTTATAACTCTGAGGGGACGGGAGAGAGATCGAAAAATGTGGAACAAGACATTATTCCGACACTTCTTCCTATACGTCTACCAAAAAGCACCGCGACCCCTCCCGCCTTTTTTTTTGCTTTATTTGTTGTTCTAATATGTGTAATTGACATCAATGCTAACATGCTGCGTTTAAACTGTTGAATTCCATGATGTATAAACAATATTATGAGAATTAACGATCCACAGTATTACATACGTTTGAAATGTCTGTCTTTTCAACCAAATTGTACTAGCCATGGTCACAGGCATACTCTGTACGTATTTAGAATTATATCATAACATTTGTCTTAGAAAACTTGACACAAACCCTGTACCAACCCGTCTGGCCAGCGTGGTATAGTAAGCCAAAACTTCCTTTCTAAGGAGATACCTATGTCCAGCAGTGGACTATTAAAGGCTGATGGTGTGATTTGTCACGGAAAGCCAAAATGTAATCTGCCTATTATGGTGGGTGGATGACTGGCTTAAGTACTAAGTTCCAATTTGTATAATACAGTTGTAACAGTACAGTTAACATGATTTCTTACATAACAAAAGAATCTAAATCTATATTGTTCAATGAATTTATGAGCTCTGAAACTAATTTAACGATCTTTTAAAAAGGTATTAACGTCATTAATGTGTCTACAACTTGTTAAATTGTATAAAACGCTTTGTAAAAAATCCTTTCAAATTAAATTTCTAATGGTTTCATAAATTACGATGTTTTAAGGTAGTAATCGTAAAAAACTAAAGTAATTAAAGTAGGTTAAAAATACCGTCCAATTAGTATTTTACGTATACAAGTAAAAAGTAAATAAATAAAACATCGCTTTATAGTAATAAGAATTGAAATGCTTAGAAAACTAATTAATATTCAATATACCAACAAATATTTGTGTTTGTAACTAAAACAAATTGCGATTTTGTCCCCGTTTCTAACAAAACTTGTCCACCAAATATTGAACTAGACCAAACAAATGAAATGCTTGTTCTTAAATTGCCGTAGACTCGTATATTTGTTCATAACTTTCGAAATTAACGCAAACGAAGCATTATATCTGTACAGTTCTTAAGCAAATGCAACTAGCAGGAGCAGTTTGAAATCTCATCACATCTTGCATCAATGCTTGTTAAACAAGACGTGATTTTTACTCAAATTGACGACTATCAAGAATACTGTAATATTAGGCGTCGTGTGTTAGATTCCCGCTTTGTGCAAATATCTGTATACTCTTCAGAACGCGTGGACTGATTTCCATGGGAGTTTTACGTGCAGATAGTTAAGGTTTTCTTTTATGATACAGAGGGCAAACGAACAGACGGGTCACCTGATGGAAAGTAACTACCGCCGCCCATGAACGCCTGCAACTCAGGAGTCATAAGGGCATTGCCGGCCTTAAAGGAAGTACGCTTGTTTCTTGAAGGTTTGAAGTTCGTACCCTTCTGGAAATACCGCAGGCGTTAATTTGTTCCACAGATTTGTTCTACGACGCAAAAAGTTATTGTTTAATTAATCTTAGGAGTAACTGAGTACTTTTATTTAGGAAAAAATATTGTGTGTGAAACCGTGTGTGAGCCTAGCGGGGTCCACAGTGAGCTAATTAATAAGGTTCGAATTAGTATCAGCTTTGGAGACTCGCCGAATTGCAGAACTAGGCTGGGAAATTCTCTTTGCATGCACCCATTATATTCCTGGGACTTAATACCAGAGCTTTTTATTTACAATTTTTTTGAATAGCAAAAGCACTGGTTTATTTTTCGCATAAAAAGATAAAACATTCGTCTAAAATGGAATATACACATTGTCTCCTCTCGAAGCAGTCAAAAATAATGACAGCGATTTTTTTATTGTATAAAATTGATTGACGATGAGAAAACAATGCATTTTATTTTATTCGAAAAACGGACAGAAATCTCTGGTATACCGTATATAGTTGTTAATTTGAGTACAAATAGAGATGCGTAACGCGTCCTTCGTTTATAAAAAATGGGAGAACTTAAACCTAAGCAGTACGTTAACAAAGGCATCCTCCAATTCTCCACGTAGATTATAATCTGTAAGTCAGAGCTTTTGTAGGAAATCTTGCGAAGGTACGTAAATGTCATCACGTGCATCAAGATTGGGCACGCAGAATACATCTGTGGAGTCATGCGCCATTCGGCAGCGTGATTACTCTGCGTGATGGCGATTGTGTTGAAGGGCAAGCGGCCCAGAGTAAATATGTACTTGAGGAGTTGAAGTTTTGTGTTAAACGGTCACAGCTTTGTTCGTTGGATAAATACCGTGGAGTTTGTTTTCTTTCTTTACCTCAGTTATTTATTTTTTAAATGAAGTGTACGAGAACGTTACTGTTTGAGATCTACAATGGAAGATTTGTCACACTTAGGTAGTACACGTCAAAGTGAGTACTGTTACCGAAGATCCATAGATTAGGTTAAAACTAGGTTCCCTAATGGTGGATTTGCGAATATTTAAATATGGACAATGTATTTATTAAAAAAAAACCTGGTTTTCAAACTTAGAGTACTGCTTTGCCGACCGTTCTGAAATTTTTACACAACGTTGTGTTCCTATGCGTGCATGTCTTTTTTTTATTTAGGAAAGTGTTGAATGTGTTGGCAGGTACCGCTTACAACACAATTGACATAGGGTATTTTTCATCCATGAAAATAGTCCAAAAGGGACTTTTACGAAGCGAAGTTGTGGAGAAAATGTTCTATAGGTTTTCAGTTGCGAACTTTTTTATAGCATTTTGTATTATATGTATTTGAGGACACATAACTTCATCACATCAACAGCCTTTAATAGTCCACTACTGGACATAGGCCTCT